GGCATATGCATTGTCTTGCCAATGAATGAGATTGTGAGGGAAATTGGCACGCATTCATTCCTTTCAAAATTTGTCTTTCCCTTCTGTCTTTCCTTGTTCTTCCTCCTCCCTGTTTCTCATCTCAGGTGCTTCTCTTTTCTCCCGCAATCAGCTGGAGTTAGCTGCTCTTCCATAGTATTATACGAGCATGTGAAATGTGGACATTAGAGCATCCAAATGTGGTTGATATTCTTGCCTCTATAAATGAAGTGGCACGTCATGGACTGTGATTCAATATTATAAAATGTGCGAATCCACCAAGTGACACTAGGCCTGTGAAACTATCATTTTTTAGGCAGCAAATATCGCTCTCGCTCTCAAATTTATTCGAGGTCTGCACGATGCGGATATATGGCTGATTGGTAGTCCCATCCGAAGCATTTGTTGTAGTGACTTCCTACATTTTCGAACCTCGACTTGGCCTGTTTCTGACTTGTTTGAGCATGTTGTTACAAGCTTTGCAGCTTAGGATGCTTCCTATAGCTTTGTGTGACGAAGAGTTCAACTAGTGGCAGTACCCTGCATGTGTTGATTGATGTCTTTTTTCTCCAATTTTATGTTCTTGACTGCTCGTATGCTTAACATTCTCTGTCTCTCTAGATGGACAAATGCGACAATAACTCTCCGAAAGTAGGGATTTCCTTAGACCATGATGATGTTAAGTATGTATCAGGCCTTAGCACTATATTGGTCGCCACCATTCAGGAAGCTAAGGACAGAATATCTCAGATAGAATATATATTCTGCAGTCAACTTTACCCAAATTTCCAGTCGAAATCCAGAAGCTTGCAGAAAATTTACTCAGAGGCCATGGAAGCAGCTGAGAATACATGGAAAGAGAACGAAAGTAATCTGTTACTTCGAACAGAAAAACTTTTGCTGGAAAAGCAGCAGGTCAGCAAAGAAAACCAGTCTCTCAGAAAGGAAATGGCGAAGCTGTCTAAGGAACAGGAAGAGAGGTTGAAGGAGATGGCTGATGAACAGGAGAACCGGCAACTTAAAATTGATGAGCTTGAATCTGAGCTTCAACAAAAGACTAAGGAAATTGATGAGGGCATAGATCTCCAGAAAAAGTTACTCCAGTTAGTTCAATCGAATGCTTCTGCATTAGCTATCAAAGGGAAAGAAACAAAAGAGCAAGAAGAAAAGACAAGAGCCCTTCTTACTAAGCAAGAAAATCTGGAAAATATGGTTAAGGCACTTAAAGAAGAAGTCGGAAAGAAAACTGAGGAAGTAATCAGGGGAAAAGACTTGCAAGCAAATTTAATGAAGAAGATGGAATTTCAAGCGTCTGAAGTTTTAGATCGAGAGCAGCTGTTGCTTAATTGCGAAAGGGAAAAAGATGTAATGATGACCAGATCAAAATGCTTGGAGGAGAAAATAAGCGAGCTTGAGGGAGAGCTTAGGAGAAAGGCCAAAGAAGAGGTGGGAGGGAAATTGAACAAAGAATTGCCTGAAAAGAGTAATTCAGGTCATTTAGACGGTATGATTAATGAGAAAGAATCACAGCAATTTGAAGAGAGACAAATTTTATTGTGCAAGGTGAAGAATCTAGAGGAGAAGGTGAATGAATTGCAGGCATGTCTTCGACAAAAGAGCAGCGATATTACTGAAGGAGGTTCGGAAGAGAATCTACTTCAACTGGTTAAATGTAAAACTTCAGAGCTATCGTCTGAGAGGAAGAAAAAAAAGGATTTGTTTGATGCCTATAAAAGGTTGAAGTCTCAGAACAATTACCTTCGTACAAAGCTTGGTCTTGTGAATGAGGATAAACTTCCACAAAGCAAGTCATTTGAGGAAGAGGACATATTGAGGTGCCAGCAGAATCAACCTACCGCATCCTGTAAGGCTTCATGTTCTTTTTTTATCCTGGTAGTGCATAACAATGACTTTGAATAGCTTTTACTGGGCTTTACTGAAACAGTCATTCCGTCTTCACATCCGGATTTAGAGTTAAGAAGTTTTTCGATCATGACTCCTTGTACTATTTAGGTATATAAGTGGAGATGTTTGTTGAAGCATTCTTGCACGGGCGTTGAAGTTGCATGGACTTGGCAGTAAAAGATCCTCCTTTTTTTCATTCTTTAGTTGCGGGGTCCCACCCCCTGTAATGGGTGTCTTTTAAACCCTGATGATAAAATAGAATCCTGGGTTGTGAACAGTGCGTGTCCATGGAGGCGACAATCAAACTCCTCAGTGATCAAACTACTTGCCGCAACCCTTCTAATGAGCACTTTACCTTGTATTGCAGGCCTTGAAAACAGTGATCTGAATCCTGCTGCTTTTGGTTTTGGGGTGAAAGTGACAGAGGAGATCAGCGTTGAAGATTGCTTAGAGGCTGACAAAGGGGTTGAACCGATAAAAAACTTACGTTCCCTCTCAGCCAGCTCAAAGTACGTTGCATCAAAATGTCAACTTGGTGAAAAATCCACGGCCGCAGTGGGCACAAAGCGCAACGCATCAGATTGGAGAGATACTAGGTCCAATCAACCTTTAGGAGGGCCTGATCCTCATGATGATTTTCTGAATACACCTTTCGAGAACGTTAAAAGGAACTTAAATGAAGCTGCAAATGAAGAACATCAAGATTCTCCAGCCCATAATATGAAGGAAATAGATCGAAGCTTCTCAGATGATGAGACACAGGACATGAATGTTGATCCTTGTCCTAAGAAGCAGCAAGTGGTAGCACCTTCTGCTGGCAGACAAAGTTTTAAATTTGTGGAACCTGTAAGAAGGAAAGCCGAGCGGGAAAATCTAAAAGGAATCGAGTGCAGGCAGTGCAAGAAATTTTATGATGCTGTTCTCCCTGATGATGAAAGCAAAGATAACGACAATAATAAGAGGAATTTCCGCTGTGAGCATCATGATGGTGTGTCCCGGCATAGGTATAAATATGTTCCTCCAATGACTCCTGAAGGATTCTGGAACATTGGCTTCGAATCTGAAATGTAAGCTCCTTTCAGACTGAAATTCATTTATTTGAAATTGGCACATTTTTCATGTAACCTTTGTCCCTACTTCAAATCCAGAGGTGGGAATCAGCCTCCCACCTTCCTGTTCATGACAATGGAAACTACTAGGCCTCTGACCTCGGAAGAGCCTGAAAAGTCTCTAACCTCTCTTCACAAGAAAATTTTTGCCAGCATTTATGAGTTGTCCAGATTTCCTTCGTGTGTTGGTTGTGTAGTTGTCATAATTGAGTTCAAGGTTCAAGAGAAAAGTTTCAGAGAGACTTTAGGACCAAAATGCTAATCTGGAAATCAAACAACCAAATATAGTAAACTTTGAGTCAACAATGTTTGATGGTAGAAACTCCGCATTTGGCTGCATATCCAGCAAGTAGGATCCCAAGAATCAAGGCTCGTAAAACTTGCTTTATAAGTACCTTGATAAGTGTCAATAACTTCTTAAACAAGTGAGGTTCATATATTTGGTGGTTGATTGGTTTAAACACCCGACGTTATGATCGTGCTACTGCTACATGACGTAGATGACAATTTCTGCTGCTAGCGTTTCTGTGTCTGTGGTAGTGGGTGTGACGGTTATAATAGAACGGTTTCCTATATGATGAGAAACATGCTGAACTTTGTATAGTTTGTCGATGAAGCTAGTCGAGCACATATGAAGCCGCTTCGTTATACCATGTTAACATCATCGAAATAACATGGAAAATCAAATTTGTTAAGGCATGTGATCATAAGAGCAACAAAAACTCCACCATGAACACGACAAACATTTCCCCATGGTTGTCTTAAATGATCGAGAATGTTATTGTCCTCTTCGACCATCATCACCTCATATTTTCCACTGATCGACATTGCGGGGAAAATGTTCTTCTCCAGCTTTCCTTCCTTCAGTTACTCCGAGCGCGAAAACAGAAAATCAAAGCCACCGCAAAACTAAGAATAGAGTTGGCTTATGCGGAGTCATCGAGAGTCAATGCAGGCAGAATCCCGGCTCTTTGTTGGTCACTAACTCGGGAGATCTGGGATGGTACTAATGGCCTTGCCATGTATGGAAGAATCGATTTGTTGATTTCAGTTTCATTGACCTAAACGACGGATCCTTTTTTCCTTCGATGATGCAGCAGCATTCATGAAACTTTATTGCGGCTCAGGAAATGAATTTTTTTCTTTTTCGGACGTAACCCGGTCTTTCAATCTCTCTTTCTTTCTTTTAGAGCCTGTTTGTTTTCAGGAAAACTGTTTTCAGGAAATTGTTTTTTGACTTTTCGGTGTTTGGATGACGGAAAATAATCGATTTGCCGATAATTTTTTTTATGGATTGAAAATAACAAGTTTAAATTGAGTGAAAACAAATACACCACCAAACAAATAAAAACTAATCATTTTTCTTAAAATTATTTTCATGAAAAATAGTCTCTTTTATCATAAGGTTTTCGATGAAACAAACATACTCAAAAAATGAATAATTTAAAAAATATTTTCTCACAAGTGATCACATGTATCGTTCACAAAAATGAATTAGCAATCCTCATCCACGAAAATTTAGTCATAAATTATTGTGAATAATAAAAAAGAAATTATCGATTAATTATTTTAAGCATTACAAATTATCATTTTTATATTCCAAATCATTCAATTTTCAGCCTTAGAGTTTGGTTAATGTTTTGGTGCTGATATGGCAGAGATGTACATGTGGCGATAAGGGGTTGACGACATGGAAGGTCATGTTTTCGTATCCGTTTAAATCTTTAACGGAAGGAATATAATCGAGGGATATGATTGATTAAAAAAAAAAAAAGGTTCACGGGCATCATTGTATAAATTAGAAAAGTTCGAGTACTAAAATTAACAACGAAGTAGAGATTGGGCAACAGTATCATTTCGAGAAGTTCTGGGGAAGAATCCGCAAATATATGAAAAGCACGGCGTGTAGCTCAGGATATCTTATTTCTGGCGCGGCAATATATGAAGGGGAACCGACGCTCGCGCGAGCGACTCACGTTACGTTCCACCTCCTCCTCCTCCTCCTCCTCCTCCGTCTGCGTTCGTCGTTTCAGATTTCCGGTCGCGCATCGCCACCCGCAGATTGCCGTCGCTCTCGCCTGATTCGGCTCGACTCGCCCCGTTCAAATTGATTAGGACTGGCTGTCGAATTGCAGTTCTCTCGATCACTACTTCGAGGTCAGTTCGGTTGTTCTCTGAAGTAATCCCCGACCAATTTGTCTCGATTGCGATCGGCCAGTCTGATGTTTGAATCTTCTGCTCGCTATTTGTGGACCGATTGTCCGTCTCTTTGCTTGTGCTCGCCCAGTTGGTTAGTTCTCGTATCTTGCTATCCCGCCGGTCTGCCCCGATTAGCTGATGATTAGGGTTTGGCATTTGTTCGCCGTCGGGGTTGCATTCTCGTGATGGAGGTCCGGTTTTGTCCGAATGAGAGATACGGCAGCCGCCGAATCCTGTAATCATTCTTTTAAAGTTCCTGGACTTCATGCTGCCTTTTTTCCCCTCTCTTTTTTGTGCTCTTTGTTAGGATGAGCTGCTGATTTTGTCGATCTGGCTGATGAATCCGCCACCTTTTCGTGCTGTACGTTTGCGGTTTTTGTGTTCACGGCCGCTTGCCCGTGATTTTCTATTCTAGTGGGACTTATGAAGAAACCTATTTTTTTGGTGTATTATTTTGAATCCAGTGATTGATTCCGTGATGATTTCATTTGGGTTTTGCTCGTTCAAACGCATAGAAGTCTTTTTCCTCCCTTTTACTCTTTTGGTGTGGTTCTTATCCGTTAGATTTTTACAGTTTTCTTGTGGAATTTCTCTTTCGTTTCTTTTTAATTTCAAAACGTTCAGTACAATGTCTAAGTAGCTTGAAAGCTTGTTTGGAAACAGTGACGTCCCGTTTACAGACTTAGCTCAGTTGGTTGTTTGCTCATGGAAAAGGAAGTGCCTTCTAGCCTTTTCGTAAATGATGGTTCTTTCATGGAGAGGTTCAAACAGCTTCAACAAGAAAAAGCAAAGGATACATGTGCCCCATCAGAAGATTCCAAACAGAGTTCAATTGGATCGAGATCTTCGAACCCTAGTGCTACCAAAACACATTTGGATAGCAAGGCTAATAATTCTGGAAAGTCCAGTCAGTCTTTATCCGGTGGTAAACTTGCATTCAGCTTGAAACAGAAGTCAAAGCTTGTTGCACCTCCAGTTAAGTTAGCTGCAGATGAGGATGAAGATGATGCCGATGCTAGGAGTAATTTGCGTGACGCGTCAGTTAAACGGCAGAAATTAATCAAACAAGAAGCCTATGAGAAATCATCAGGACATGATGATGTTGGTAAATACCACTTCATGAATATAATTTTGTGTGGTCAGGACTGTGATGGGAGGCTTTTGTTTGGATCGTCATTCTTGTCGAGGAATGGAACGACGAGATCGATTCAAATAATCAGCAAGTGATGAGATTTTCTCATACATTTTGGTATCTTGTGGTAGAATTTGGTTTTTCTTCAACAACAGTAATGATTCGTGGTTGGAGCTCACTGTGAGTTGATAGTACATGCTGTTTGTTGCTCATTTTGTGTCGTTGTTTTGGATGGATGCCTAGTTCTTTATTCTAGGTCTCTTCTTTTAATTTATGCTTCAACTGTTGTTTTACGTTCAGATTCTGGTTGATTGCTTTCTTCCATCCTTTTTTTTTAAAAAGAGAAAAGTTCAAAATGTTAGGGGAACAATGTTTGGCCTTTACTCCGCTTGTCCTTTATTCTGATCTTCAAAATAGAAACGTTGCTTAGAGTCTTATGTCTTTTGTGGTGCTTGTCTGACATTTTTTGTTGTTGTCTAGTTATTTGTGCTCTTTGTGTTGGAAATCTGAGTAGAACACGTGCAAACAAAATATCTTTCAGTGACATGCTTACTTCTTTGCATTTTGCTGGATAAGTGCGAAGAAGAAGCCCCCATTTTGCTATCTCTTTTGTTTTTTTAACCTGATGGTCAATATACAATGTTACTTTTAAATTCTGAAAATTCTGTAGTCCTAATGCCGTTCAGGTGTGCACTTCTAGTAAGCTCAATACAGGAGCAAATCCACCCCGGGGTTTATGCCACCTGATTTGGGAGTCACGATTACTTATATACTGTAATGAACTGTGCTTTAAGTGTTTGATGTTGGTTGATAAAGTCCCCTAAACACAATATTTTAGCCCTTAGGTTCAATTTCTCATAAGCTGTTTGAAGGAGAGCAAAACATTCTTGAATATTTCTTCCCACGTGAATGCAGCTTTAACCTTAAGTACCTACCAACATTGGTGGAAAGAGATGTTCACTGAAAGATATGGAATATGTGGCACGCCTGCTACAAGAGTAGTTTGCATTCTCTTGTTCATGCTCTCGGTATTAATCAGTTTTGTAAGTGACGTGCAGCACCACCTTCCCCAAGCGATCCTACAGTAAAGAAAGTTGCGGACAAATTAGCCAGCTTTGTGGCCAAAAATGGAAGGCATCTTGAAGATATGTCTCGCCAGAAAAATCCTGGGGATACTCCATTCAAGTATATACTTTCATATATTTCTGTCTAGAACATAGCTGTTGTTTGGCTTCCGTGTGGTGCTTAGATACATACTGATTCCATCGAGTCTTTTTCAAGCACACGAGCGAATGGCGATTTGCCCTTGCCTTTGCCAGCATACCTCTAATGTTTTATACTGTGCACAGGTTTTTATTTGACAAAACCTGTGCTGATTACAAGTATTATGAATACCGGCTTGCTCAGGAGGAAAAAGCCCTTTCTTTACAGAGCAAGGAACCCCAGAAATCTCGCAATGGTTGGTGCTATCCTGCTTGAATGTTTTTTTTTTTCAGAGTTGAATGGTATTCCATTGTCTTAGCTGGTTTGTTGTCATGGATGTTGGCGAATGATTAGTTTCCATACTTCCATTGCTTTTGTTGTGAGCATGCCGTTAAATGATTGTTGATAGGTTAGGTTATTTTATATTTCATCATGTTTAGAGGTTAATAACATGAATATCCAGCATGCAATTAAGTGTAAAACTAACTTCATGCATGTGAAGATGAATTTTCTTGAAGTATTTTTTGTATTTCAAACCACTTAACTGAAAGAGAAATCTGAACATAAAGTTGGAACAGCAAGAGCTGCAAGAATTGCTATCAGGACTCAAGTTGAAGTGTTTCAACTTTCACCTTCTGCTTTAATTGCTCATTGAACACTTTATTGCAGTTGTAGCGCCTATGCAAATCAAAAGCTCTTTCAAGCACCCACTTATTCCCAAATATTCTATATCATGGTGTTCAGCATTTTCTGTTTGATTGTTTTGCTGTATGTTTCATATAGCAATGATTCGTGGAGTATCATGTACGTTCTGGAGTTTCAGAATGTTGTAATTGTGCTCTCTTTGCTAATGCAAAAGTAGAACGTACTTGTACTATCTTTGCTAAAGTAAAAGTGGAATGTCTTTGTGCATTGGATAGACAAAGAATGGGATGTGCACGTGAGTTGATTCTAGATGATAAGTATCATTAATAGAGCCAGTAGGAGTAAAAAGATTATAATGCATTATTGGACCAGTCAAGAAAACCAGTCTAAGGGACTTCTCGTGAAAGTTATGAGGTGGTTGCTTTGCATTTTAGATTTAATGGTTCAGGCTGATTCTGCTTGTTTTGTCTGTGCCTTTGCATTATCTATTTGCACCTTACATTGTTTGGTACTCAGTGCATCTTCCATTCTATAAATAGTCGACTGTTCCCTTCCAAGTCATTCAGAATCTGAGTAGTTTTCTATCTCATTCATGTCTATGTTCGTTCTTTAGAATTCTGTGCTGTAAATTATCTACACTCACTATTCATATTTAGTTGCTTAATCTCCTGTTTTACCTTTCGCGGGTGGAGCAGGTGCACCAGAGTCAAGGTCTAATACTGGCTCCCAAGGGATACTCAACAGCCAGGCCCACCACTCAAATTACCAAACTCCTGCGTCAGCATTGTACGAAGCTACAGATAATTCTGGAGTTGCTTCGGATAGGAATGGTGATTACACATTTGTTTCAATTGCCATGTCATCTGATTTTGGCTTAAATTACTAATATACTTCCTTCCAAAGAAGTGACAAATATGATCATCTTATGTTTGTATTTAAAGAGAGTAAAGTAAAATAGAGCAGCATCTGAAAAGCTGAATGTGCTGAAACCATAGATAGCATCAGTATACATTATATTTATGCAACTTTGTACCTTGTATTAAATTTTTAAAACTTGTCGGACGTAATCATTTGTCTTTAAATCAAATTGATTTTAGGTTGTTTTTTATTCTAATGATGTTGTTTTACTAGAAACTACTCAAAATTCATTGACTAATGAGTGGTGTTATTATTTGAATATCAATGTGAGTACTTCTTTTTGGTTAAATTGCAACATGCTACAAAGACATTTTGTGGTTCATGCTTTTTTGGCATTATTAAGTGAGCACGATAAAGGATTGAGCATGTTGGTTGATCAAGTTTGTTGAACACAGGCGAGTCAGGTTCTACAGCAAGTGCAGATCCTGTAGCAATGATGGAATTTTACATGAAAAAGGCTGCCCAGGAGGAGAGGAGGAGACAACCTAGACAATCGAAAGACGAAATGCCTCCACCTCCTTCTCTTCAAGGTTAGCTTTTGAATTTTGAATTTCTTTGCGAGCAGGTGTTTTTTTCTGTTGTCACAGTGTCTTGCTATCTGCATCTCAGTTGAGATGACACATTTGAGTTTTGTTTCATAGGTCCCTCCAAGAAAGGTCATCACATGGGCGATTTCATTCCTCCAGAAGAACTTGAAAGGTTTTTGGCTTCATGTAATGATGCCTCTGCCCAAAGGACTGCTAGAGAGGCTGCCGAAAGGGCCAGGATTCAGGCTGATAATGTTGGCCATAAGCTTCTGTCAAAAATGGGGTGGAAAGAAGGTATTTTTCAATTTTATATTCCCTATAGCTCTTGGTATTGTTCCATCCAGAAGATAAGGCGTCTTTGATATAGCTAGATCGATTTATTGGGATAAATTATTCACATAAGCAGCTTAATCATGTGTGCATGATGTACTGAAGTTCTTGTCGTATCCATGCATATGAATGTGTCGATTTGTTAAGTACCGTGTATAGCTCCTAAGGGTCTTGAGTATGAAGGGAACTCCCTGTTCTGTGACATATAAGCCAACGGTGGTGGTTGATGAGGAATTCTTCTTGTGGTGTCTGACTTCGTAATTGCATCTGTCATCACTTATGACCCGAGGGGAAAAGGCTAATTGGTGCACCTGGCTAATTGAGCAGGTGAGGGTCTTGGAAGCTCTAGAAGTGGTATTGCTGATCCAATCATGGCTGGTGAAGTGAAGAAAAACAACTTGGGTGTTGGTGCTCATAATCCTGGAGAGGTGAAGCCAGAAGATGATATATATGAGCAGTATAAAAAGAGAATGATGCTTGGATATCGTTATCGACCGAACCCTTTGGTACTAGACTCTTTACCTTATTATTTGCTGTGTGAGCCTTGTAAACCTTATATCTGTGAACTGATCAGTGCTGCATGCCGTTTTGCTCCTGCAGAATAATCCTCGAAAAGCGTACTACTGAACAAGTTCAGTCTTACCTCTTTGCGAAGACCGGTGGATATTATTAGAATTGTCCAGAGCTTTCAGGAGAAGGACGAAAGTTTCCTTGTGTCTATTGTATTCGTCTGGATTTGCTCTAGTCGATTTCTTGCTTATGAAAATCTTTTCTCTTTTGGCACATAATTCGGTGACCCTTGCTATTTTCTTTTTCCTTTGTTAGGGTTGGTGGGGCGGTTTAGTGAATTTGACATTAGAAGTAAGAGTTTCGTTTTCTTTTTCCTTTGTTAGGGTTGGTGGGGTGGTTTGGTGAATTTGACATTATTCTGTAAGAGTTTCGACGATGCAACATCGAACTTTCACTGGAGTTTCAGAGATGAATGTTCTATTGGCATCACTTTACCGGTTCCGTGGCAACTCGGTTGGAACCTCTATCTAAAGAATCTGTCGTGAAATACCCCCAGTGCCAATATATGACTCTACAAATTGCAGCCTTGCTAGTCAATTCCATTCAAATCAATATGTGAAAATTTTCGCGGGCCAGATTGCAGAGTTTGACATGCCCCATAACTTACCGGGTGCTCTAATTGGCCCTTAAACCACCTTAGCCGAGTGGAAGCAGAGTCTGCTCCTCTTTTTGTATACAACTGAGGAGTAAAGGCGTCAATAAAAGACCAGTCACCGGAGAAAAGAGTGACATTGCCGCTTGAAGTGCAAGACATATTAAGTGAGCAGCCTTTCGGAGTTGCATCATCTTCCAATGAGTAATTGATGTCATTAGAAATGAATCCCCCGGTCTAAATTCATGGACGAGCAAGATTATTGCAATTTGTTTGGACTATTGGGAGGATCTCGAGCTGATTTCTATGCTGCGAATGGGTTTACCTTGGCATCATTCGTACTTTGAGATGGGGGTGGCATTAATTCATGTTGCACCGTTGGTTGAAAATTACTAGAGAACAAAAGAAATACAAGCGAAAAAGAAAGCAATGACAATAAAGATGAGCTGAATTCATATCATCTGGTAGCATCTGCACGGATTTCAGACAATTTCTTTTCTTGTTTTTCATGCTTCTTGCTGTATTATCGTAGGTAAGATGCTGATTGATCATCTGAATTTAGACCAACCATGGTCCTCTTTATATACACTGAGACTGGGTGTAAGTTTCAGGCAAAACATTTATAGCCATTGGAGGAATTCGCCTCCAAATGACTGGCGGGGGATCAATGTAGCATTGTATTTCCTCTAGATCCTCAAGAGTTCTCTCATTTCAGCGTTCATGTGGCCTGTTTGGGCATGCTTGCTGCCTGATGATCGAGGGCTTTCCACTGTTGAATCCTAAAAAATTGCTTCATGGAAATTTGACCGATGAGGCCATATCTGAAGAACCTGCAGAAATTTACTTCAAAAAGAAAAAAAAAGAACCTGCAGGAGTTTTTGAAACCTAAACTTTTACAATGATTCAAAATAGCTCAAGCTCATGTGCTTTTTCAACGGCTCTGGTATTTCGTCAGACTAAGTTTTCTGTTTCTTTTTCTTTTGCTGGATTATTTTGTTCCAAATGGAAATGTTCATAGAGAGCAGCTGCTTCAAGTCTAGTAATATACATGTCTTGTTTTTTTTAATTCCATGAAATTGTCTTCTTTGAGCATGAACATAAGCCACATCTCAGCGTGACTTCCTTCCAGAGATTCCACTGTTCAGGTTTAACCATTTAGCCGACCCAAAAGGGCATACGAAAAGAAGGAAAAGAAAGAAGTAAACCAAAGCAAGAGAAGTGAAGACATTGAATGGTGGAATATAGACATTGTTAAAACAGTTCTTTTATAAACTAAACAAACATAATGCAGCACTTCGAACAGTCAACATTGTGCATAACAAGAACTAGCTAGGAGACTCCACAGTTTCCTGGAAGCGCCTGGGCCAAGGCAGTCGAATTAATTTGCATTATATACGTTTTTTCCTGCTTGATTAAACTAAGCTGCGGCATCTTCTGCAGGTTAGTAAGTTAAACTAGAGCCACGCTAGTCAAGTGTGTCAGAGTTGATTGCAGGATGTCAAAAGGATCAAAGGGAGGTTCATAGGCCAACTAGCAAAAGGTTAATTTACATGGATGACGTAATCCCATCCATAAACTGAAGACTACTGAGGCACTATATCAGTGGAACTGGGTTTGATGCTCTATAGCTCTGGAATTTCAGATTATTTTTGTACATGGATGCGGCAGTTATGCCACCTTAACTTTAATACATGGAATACTGTGACGATAGTTCATTTGCTGAGAATTCTCACGAGGCTTTTTGGTCCTGTAGTTTATTATACCTGAATGTGAGAGCGACCGCATATTAGGTTCCCCTCTTTCTGTGAACCTGTTCTCTTACGAAAGGTTGGCAGGACAATAGATATCGCCTGTTTGCTTGACTGGGCAATTCCTGAGCTAACTGCCTCGGATCAGATGTGAGAAGAAGCAGTAAAGAGATCAAGGAGTCGGAGTAAGAGTCAGTGTCCTCGTCACGAGCAAGAAAGCAATGTGCGCACCATGGAGAAGTTCTACTAGACAGGTGTAATTACAAAGTCTAAAAACAAAGTTGAAGCTTTATTCCACAGAGGACCCAGTACATGATCTTTCTTGATCTTCTTATGGTCAGAAGTACTAAGATTGTCATAGCATTCCAGTGTATTATTTATTACCATCACCTCGAGGTGTTCTTGCTCACCATCTACTTCATCATATCACCTGCATCAGGAAAAATATGAAGAGGAGCCATCATCAATAATGACGAGCAATGTAGAAAAGAACAGTAGTGGAAGTAATCTTCCTCATGAAGCAGACGCTCTAACTAATGTCTGCCAGGAGGCAGTGTCAATCTACTGCCAGGCAGAAATCGAGAACATCTGCAAATGGTTACAATAACAAGAGAGCGCTTCATACAGGGTGCGAAGTTGGCAGTGCACTTGTCAGGGAGCTCCAGGGCCATGTTCCTGTCGACGCCAGAGATTGGGGGGCCATTCACCAGGACGCACAAGCATGGCTGCCCAAGAGTTTTGATGGCTTTGCAGCAGGCTTCGCTGGGTGGGATGGTGCTAAAAGGAGCTAGAGCTGCCCTGCACGGTATCAGCTGAACCATTGCTGAGAAGAATGTGCTCCCACAAGTAAGCCCCTCTCCCTTCTGCACCACACTGGCAGTTACAAGCAGGAGCACGAATATAGCAAGTGTGATGGACTGAGAAGCCTTCATTTCTTGTTCTTGATTTTGAAGCGGATTCCAATAGTCGCCTCCCAAAGCCTTTTTTCATGGGAATGGGTCGTTATATAGTGTCTCACGCAAAAGTGCCCCCATGGCTTATACAAAGTCGTGCCTGTCATATATGGTTTTAGCCACCAGCAACGCTCAGCTGATTTACCTACACAGAGTCGCAAGGCATGCAATGGGTGTGCTGGTGAATTAGTTGGGACGTTCATACTTCATGATTTTGAACCTATGAGTATGCTACAGTCTTTCACAGTTAAATGGGGTGAAACAGTCTGAGTATCACATTATGGAAGATTGTGTCTAAGAGGACAACCAGTTTGCTTTGTCCCTTGAATTTACTAGGTTTCGGTTAGTCTTAAACGACATTATTTTGTCAAACATTTGGTCTTTGTTAGCTTTCAATCGTCGGTCTCCATCTTAAGTTTTAATTTTGTTTCGAAAGGAAAACTCGTGCTCAAGTTTGGTTATCCTCTTCTGCACTAGATAGATCCAGAAAAATCGCATGCCACCTAACTTTGATGCCGTCCTGATCCTAAGGCACAGATTAAATAACAGCTAAAAAAACAAAAAAAGAAAATTCAGTCCAGCTCCCCTTACCACAACCCCCCGCACCCAATTAAAAAAAAAAAAAACCTGTTAAGTAGCTTTGCGGTTTGCTGATGCCTGATGGACATTTTGGATATGATAGAGCACCTCACATGCTCTTAGTTTTACAAAAGCACCCTCTAGAATTCATCAACCGTCGTTGACTATTCTCGGCCTTTTGGCTCAGAATTGTACAGAATCCGGATCAAATTAGTTTCAGAGAGCATTCTCATATCACAAGTAAATGTATGTCAACCTCTGACTGAAGTCACAATTAGAAAGACCAATGTGCTAAAAACACAGGCAAGAGCGGTCCTTGCAGCACCATTCCACATCAAAGTGGGATTCTTTTCACAGTTCTGATGCCTTTTGGCCCGAAGTTAGCAAACAAGGAATATAATAAGAATGACCACTGTTTATTACATTTCAAATTAATTCAACATGCTATGCTGTTCCGATAATTCAATGACTAGACTCGTCCAAGGAACAAAAGTATCAGGATTCTCCTTTACTTCCTTTCAGGTTGATCACAGCAAGTTCTTGTTCGACAAATTCTCCAGCACACATGGATGGATATTTGCTGGCAAGTGGGGAATCCACAAAATGGCCTAAAGGCTTCAGCACTGCATCCGATGCTATGTGAGCAAACAGCTACACATGGTGGATAAAATAAGTCAGACAACGTATACATAATTTCGATCGAAGTTTTTTAATTTAAATTGAGCACTGCAAGGTCCATACAAAATTAACACGGATATTAAAATACCGACAGTAGTGGCCCATATTGATACTCACTGTTGAAGACACTCTCCATAGGCTGCAATTTTGCTTCGATGCAGCTGCCACAGCATCCATTGTCCGACTTGTTACAACAACTTCATGCATACCAGCCATGCAATCGCCAGCAGTAAGCCACTCTATCTGCAGTATAATGCCATTGCAGGAAGAAGGCAACATATGTAAATTACAATTGGTAAATCAGATCAAGGAATGCCTGGAAATAATATTTGAGATATTGACAAAGCAAAATGAAAGTCGAAGATAGCTTAGAAAATAAGTGGGAAGACTTTTCTAAACTATTCCTTTTGACATCAATGCCTCTCAGAGCGGACAACAGAGCTTGCCTTTGCATTACCCTACCTGCTTTCCTGTCTGAATAAGAAGACATCCTACAGGAACCTTCACTTCAACCTTTTGCCCATTCCTTAACCAGATGTTCAAGCCAGGGAATCTACTTCTACCATGAATAGTAAGAAAATTAAGGTCGTAGTGATACCCAGCAAACACGATTCCCTCCTGCCCATACCGGCGGAGGTCACTTCCTGTTGGGGCAAGAAGATGCGGTCCCTGTGGAAATCGAAAACCATACTTCACATGAAACATTATATAGAAAAAGGAATCAACAGAAATCAAGATTGCCAGTTAGGACAAGTGCACTCATAGACAGTCAGCAATGCCTATCTCTTCCACAGCACATTCTTAAGTCTTTAACAAAGCTATCAAGGTAATGCACTTAAAAAATGACACTGTTTGGTCAGAGGGGAGCAAGTTTGGCAAGAAGTCAGGAAGATATCAACAATGGTCTCAAAGGTCTTCTGTGTGAGCAGCAACGTGAATAATGATTAATTTTTTTTTTTGGTCGAAGAATAATGATTAATTAAGTCACTACGTAGTAACTGGGACAATGTATGGCTTCATGATATCTTTTTCATACTTCTACCAAAAAAAAAAAAAGAACAGGATGTGGAATTTACGCTGCCAATAAATGATAAATGTGGGAAACGTTGCATTCAAGATTATCCTAGAGGGAGCATGATGGAGGAAAATCACTCAGACAAGTCTTTCATTCCCAATCTCCAATTTTGATAACAGAGCTGAAGTCGAGCAGAACATGCAGAAAAATTGCAAGCTATATGATCATCACCTGCTTCATCAGAGAAGTGAATGCATCTTTTGGCAAGCCAAAGCCAATTGCTGCCATTTCAGCTACGGCCTAAGCACCATATTAGATTACATCAGACAACAAATATTCAACCGATTGGCACGAAAACAAGTATGAGCAGATAAAGGATCGTACTGGTGAATCACCTCTACTGCTGATATCATTTTGTAACCCCAAGCATCCATGGTATCCTTCCATTCAGGAAAACCATCGGGTATGACAGGCTCTGAATTCAGTTCCTGCGCGAGAGATGGGTCAATGTATAATCAGGGGATAGAGGGGATAAAAGAGAATACAAAGAAGCAAAAGCGGAGATGGAAGACCTGGAAGCGGGTGCTGGATGGCCGGGGGCCTACTCTCCACATGTATCGCCACTTAGGATCCGGGCCCTTTGGAGTAGCCGGCTGGACCTCCTTGGGCATTGACTTTAACTTCTCTTGAATTTCTTCATCGACCAAGCTCCTGGGAACTTCTATCCCTTCAGGGGTCACTCCAACCTGCCATATTCGCACTCTCGTGAAAAAACATATCATCAGCTCTAACAAACACAACAAAGAGCCCAGCTTGAAAATACGGGCTGCGAAAGAGTAGTCTCCTGTTGGATTGGGCTCCCATTGTGAAACACTCGAATCACTAGCTCATCGGTCACCCTCGAATTCACCCATAGCTAAACAAAGAATACTCAGCAGCGGAGATCGCCAGACTATTGCCTCGATTGAACTTTTTCCTTTAGTACTACCCAATAAGCTGAACAAGAAAGGTTGAAGGCTAAGGAGGGACAAATGCGAAAACCAGAGAGCCTTCCAAATGAACAAGAAACTCCACACAGCAGGGCCTGCAACGACACTCTAAATTACACCGAATGCAGGCAAAGACCATGTCAACGAGCTAAGCGAGAGACAACCCCATCTCTAGACACACGCTCAGGCGCAATCCCCCAAGCCGAAGGAGGAGGAGGAGACACGGCAGCGGAAAGAAAGGCCCTCAAGAGAAGAAGAGGACCTGGTAATGGAGGTGGGGACGCTCTTGGAGGCGCTTGAAGTGAGGAGGGGCATCGAAGTACTTCTCCATCATGTCGAGGAAGCGGTCGTTGTCGAGGGCGGAGCACCTGGGGTCCTTCACCACCAGAGCCCCCGTGTCCCTCAGGATCCGGCTCACCTCCCCGCACAGACCCATCAGCGACGGGTCCAGCTGCGCCGCCATCTCGTCCGGGTGGGAGCTCAGGGTTGGGGAGATCTCGAGGTACGGCGACAGATCGATCACCGGCACTTCCATTTTCGCGATCCTCGATCGATCATGGGATGATGGATGATGGATGATGATGGAGCTGGAAGAGAAGACGAAAAAGGAGAAACGTATATAAAGGCAAAGGCAAAGGCAAGTGGTGGGCGCCCGGCGGTATCGTGCGAGCGTGAAATTCCCCCCAAATAAAATGAAATATGTCAGAGAAATTCGGGGGGCGGGGATGGCGGGAGAGGCGTTTCGTTACCTTCGTTACGGCACGCCATCATCACCTTCGAGGGACGACACCGTGAAAGATCTTTCCACATTTACGTTAGTGGATCACGGACGGACGATCATCCAAAATTCCTTCCATGTTAAACCCCCGTCGCCCATGTGAAAAAGATCCGTTAAGGTAGAATAAAATTCATCTTAATATCGTTCCGATTATAGAAAATCTCATTTTATGTTTGATGTCACTTAATATAAAATTAATAACTCCTGAAATCTTTGTAATCCTTCGAATTTCAATCGCCATCGAAAGTTTCTCTCTCTCTCGTGGCCCCTTCAGCGAACCGAACTACCCCGTGTATGGGCGACTCCTCACTGCCGCCCACTCCACCCTACCAACTTCCACTCATACCATCCTCGCCGACCGCTTCGGATCTAACCACGTCTCCCTACACACCACTAGCCCCCTTTGTCGCGCTTCAATCATTGGCCCCATCCCTCTTCCCCTCGCTTCTCCTGGCCATGTCTCTTAGGGCCTGTTTGGCAACTTGCCAAATAGTAAAAATTTATGTTATTTTCTTTTCATAATCAGTTTGGGAGCAGAAATCCGTTTGTTAAATTTTTTGTGCCTGGGCATAATTTTGCAAAAAATTGTTCCCAGAATCAGTTTTGGAACAGAATCAAGAAGCAAAAAAAAGTAGTTTCTTGATTCTTGAACAATTTTTCCATTTCTGATTCTTCTTCATTTTCTTCTTTTTTTTGGTTTGTTCTTCTTCTTCGGCCTGCCGCCCGCCGGCCGCCGATCGCTGGCCACCGGTGACCAGCCGTAAGCCAGGGTCGGCAAGGGCGGCTCGCGGCCACGACGGTGAGGTCTCGCCCAGCCAAGGCAAGGCCGACCTCGCCGTCACCACCCAGGCGACGGACCTGGGTGGCGATGGCGAGGCCAAGCCTCGCCCAGCCAAGGCGAGGCCAACCTCGCCGTCGCAACCAGCGAGGGCGGCGGCGAGGGCTGCGACGCCCTCGCCGGCCCTGGCCTGTGGCCGATTGTCGACGCCGGCGACCGGCCTTGGCCAAGGAAGAGAAGGAAAAGAAAGAGAAAAAAAAGAAAGAAATATTAAAAAATTCAAAATATTATTAATAAAATGAAATTTTGTATAGTTATCAAACGCATTTATGTTCTTTTTCTATTCTAAGAATAGAAATTTTGGGCAGTTACCAAACGCTTTCAAATATTTCGAAATTGTTTCTGGGCATAGAATAAAAAAGAATCATTTCTGAGCAGAATCTATTCCCGGGCACAGAATGATTGCCATGTGCAGCCTTAGCATCTCGATGGCAACAACAAGCGTACGGTGGGCGCTGTCGTTGGCGGTAGCAAAACAACAATGGAGGAGGAGCATATGACGGATTAAATCAGGAGAAACTAATAGTGACCAATTGAAGGAAATTGATGATGTGAACGGTCATGATGGTCAATTGTGTCGAATGGAGGAGGAGGAGGAGGAGGGGCCCGTGAGAAGGTTGGTTTCAATTGATTTTCCACTTCGAGTAATGGAATAGTCCAGAGGTTCGGAATCACAATTGTCTCGTGCAAACACAAAATGAGTTGAGAACAATTGATGATTCCTCAATGAATCAATCGAGAGCAGATAGACATTTACAAAGAGTGTCGAGAATTGTGGGTTCGTCCTAATGTTTGTCGGATGCGTCATTTCATCACTCCATTGGAAGATAACATAGATAGTTATTTAAAAAAAATTATTTATCTAATCAGAGTTAATTTACTTTGTACCAAATTTCTTATCCAATATTTTACAAGGGTATATTTAGGTTTATGCGGTTTGGAAGACATCATCAAAGCGTCAAATAGGATAATTTGGACATGAAATCTGAACCATCGAATGCCTCAAGTGAGTAAGTTGAGCTTGAAAACACGTTAGATGACATTTTATTTTCCCTTGCCTAGCTGTATATCAAGAAACCTAGTAAAGACCTCCATAACAATCACAAACCAATAAGTTTGACCATCATTAATAACCTTGCTTCAATCCTTTCCCACCTATAAGGAAGCCTTCCAAGTCCCCATTTAGATTGAGAGGAGCAGTAGGGAGAAGCCACACAGGCTTTAATCCAGATAACGAACTTAACAGGGCACATATATTAACTTCAATATCAAGAACAAAAATTCCCAATCAACATAATCAAACGCCTTTCATTAAATCTATGAGGATCATACAACAAGGAGAAAATCTTGATGATTCTTGAGTCTTGACCAACTCAGGAGTGAAAAGAAGAATATTTACAACTAGCATATATAAGAGATAATGACACAAACAGTTCCTGAATTTTGGCAAAATGTGCAATCTGGTCTCAGAACTTTTAATATGTTCAACATAGTCTGAGTCTCTAAACTTTAGCTTAATATTCAATGTGATCCATAAACTTTTGGAAGATGTTCAATTCAATCCCTAAACTATATGAAAATGCTCAATATAATTCTTCCATTAATTTAAGTTCAAGGACTACATTGAGCATTTTCATATAGTTCAGGGACTGAATTGAATATGTACCAAAATTCCAGGGACCACATTGAACAAATTAAAAGTTCAGGGACCATATTGAACATTAAGCTAAAGTTAATAGACTATATTGAACAAATTAAAAGTTTAGGGACTAGATTGTACATTGGATCAAAGTTCGGAGACTATTTATGTCGTTTTCCCCATATACAAAAGCAAGTGATCTAATCAATAAGCAAACATATAATTAGTGAATCTTCGGATTTGTATCAATTTTATCAAGCGATGCACGCACCGCTCGAGTTCGACGCGTAGTGTGACCGTACCAACAAGCGATCCTAGCTTATGGATGCGAATTGCGTAACTCAATCAAGAACGGGCAGGGAATGACCCGCACGGCATCAAAATTTGCCGAGGAAACGTGGGGAGACAGAAACGTGACTGATCCTAAAAAACTAACAAAACAAAAGACAGAACAAAAAGCACGTGCAGCTCTTTGCCGTTCGACCCTGACTGCATATAATGGGCTTGGCCCAGGCCCAGGCCCAAATCCACGGAGAGGCCCATCGCGCCCCCGCGCACGCGCGCTCTCGTGAATGTCATAGCTTTCTCTTCCGCCCCACCCCTCCTCCCTTCCAAAACCGAAGAGAAGAGAAGGGAAGAGACCGGGGGAGTGGGGAGAGTGCTGCGGCGCTTTGCCTTTTCTTTTTCTGCAAAAACTATTTACAGCGCCACACGCACACACCCACACCAACAACAACATCAGGAAGGGCGTCAGAAGTCGCCGCCTCTCTCTCTCTCTCTCTCTCTCTCTCTCTCATTCTCATAGCCATTTCTCATAAACCCTCCTCCTCCTCCTCCGTCTCCTCCGCGCCCCTTCCCCCCATGTTCTCTTGAGTTTCTCCGACGGACCTCCCCCTCTCTCTCTCCCTCTCTCTCTCTCTCTCTGGTAAGTGCTCTCTTAGCTCGCCCGCTTCCTCCCTCCCTCCCTCCCTCGCTGGCTCACGCTGTTCACAATCAATACAAATACACGAACGGCCTCCTCCTTGTCGTCAATCATTTGTGCGCGCGCGTGTTCTGTAATGTTAATGTAACGGGTTCTCTGCAACTTTGATACGTGCTCGCCGCTGCGTAATCCTCGCCCCCCGCCTTCCATCACTTGTCGAGCTCGCTTTTCTCTCTGTCCCCCTCCACCACCTGGGTCTCTTCCCCTTTTCTTCGTTGTAGCCTCTCGCTTCTTCTCTCGATTGGATTCTCTTGAGCTGTGGTCGCTGGTTTTCCTCCCTCCCGTTCCAATTTTGCATTCCCGGTCTGTCTCCCCGCCGCTTCAATCACACGTCGCGCTCCCTTCTTCTTCCTCTTCTTCTTCGCAACGTTCTCCTCCGTCTGCTTCTGTTCTCCGCCACGTATTCCTCCTCTTTCGAATTTTATATGGACTTATGCTGCTCTGCTCCTGTTTGAATTCTTTCGAGCAAGAATGCCTCGCTGATTTTCGGGCCGTTTCGATTGACTTAGGTTCTGCACTCGGGTGGCAAAATGGCGGGGAAGTCTAACAAAGGCAAACATCGGAGAGTCTCTCACGCTGCCGCGAATTCTGCCGAGGGACCGCCCTCCTCGGATGCCGCCGCCGCGAAGGAGATTGCGAGCCCCTCCGACTCCATCGTAGCTGATGCTAATGGAGTTCCGGCTGTTGGAGAACTGGGTGGGGCTGGACCTGAGTTGAAGGAATCTGAAACTGCGGATGCAGCAAGCCAGTCGAAACAAGGTAGACATTGCTTTGCTAATGTTTTCCACGTTCCTGCTCTTTCATATGAGGATGTCGAGAGGACATACTTATGCGGCTATGCCCAGCAATTGACTGTTAATTTGTCATCCTAGATAATATCTTGCTCTTTTGATTTCTCATTTTGCCGCCACACTTGACACGTCCATCTTCTGCATCCTTCTTCCCCTTTTTTTTTTTTTTTTTTCTTTTTTCCGAAAAGTTTGCGCCGGCGACTCTTCTGTAGATGCTATTTTGAACTTTTCCGGATAAATTTACTGGGATTCAAACATTTTGCTGCGCCCAGTCTGGTTTCTTAGTCCTCCAAGTGGCGAACATATTTGCTTTAACTACTATGCAGAAGTGCAATGTTTGCCCCATCCCTCTTTGCTCTAAAGTGCTGTCGGTCAATTCTCGCAACTGACAGTCCTCTTATTCTCCTTCCTCTGTCGTCCTATATCTTGTTTATGATCATATCTCCTAGACATGTAATAGGAAGTAAGTGATGGCAGCAGCTTACTTCTTTCAAATGTTTTTGGACGAGGAGGCTTCGATTTCAATTCCCATTCAGTGTTGAGTTAAAATAGATGCATTGGCTGGGTCAAAGCTTCATTTGGTTTTGCGAGTTTTGAGAATTCTATTGTTGCATGCACTAATATGTATTGTATTGTAATTGCTTCAACTCTGCGGTTGCAGGAGACCTTCATCTCTATCCAGTTCCTGTCAAGACACAAAGTGGCGAGAAGCTTGAGCTACAAGTACACTCCCTTGATTGCTCTTGCTCTTTTGATATAGAAATATGGTTGTCTGATTGTTCACTTAGCCGCTGAGATATTACCTTGGTCATGATAATTTTGCTCACATAATTAGTCTAAAATTGGTCTTGGCATCTTAATCATTGTAGTCAGTTAATGTTAAAAGGTGTCAGCTATTTGGGATTTTTTTTTTCTGTGCCCACTTATTTGCTGAGATATTACTGCTCAAGATGATTGTGCTTTCGCGTTGAGAATGTATTAGTCTCCATGTCTTAAATACCACACCTAGTTAACAACAGGAAATGGGGTCAGCAATCTGACATTTTTTATTGTGCTTCTAGATTAATGTACTATGTACTGTTCCCATTTGCAGTTGAATCCAGGAGATTCAGTGATGGATATTAGGCAATTTCTTCTTGATGCTCCTGAAACATGTTTCTATACATGCTATGACCTACTGTTGCACACAAAGGATGGGTTGACTCACTGCCTGGAGGACTATAATGAAATTTCCGAAGTAGCTGATATTACCACCAGCAATTGCTCCTTGGAAATGGTTGCTGGTAGGGTTCAAAGTTAAAGGACAAATTATTACAGCAGTCAGATCATTTTTCTGCTAAGTAATGCTGATTTTTTTTTTTGGCAGCATTATACGAAGACAGATCAATCAGGGCTCATGTTCATCGCACGAGAGATTTGCTGTCCCTATCCACACTTCATGCCTCACTGTCGACATCCCTTGCTTTGCAGTATGAGACAACTCAAAACAAGGGGTTGGGAGCCAAAGGTGTGGCTGTACACAACTGATGTCCTTTGTAACGATATTTTATTATTGTGCCTGTGCATTCTATACTAAAACTTTCCATTTCCAATTCATTTTGTTTCAGATACTCCAAAAATTGAAGTTCCAGAGCTTGATGGTCTGGGTCTTATGGAGGATGTTCCTGGAGCCCTAAGAAACTTGATATTACCTTCTTCAAGGGAGATAAAATGTGTGGAGAGCATCGTCTTTTCATCCTTTAATCCTCCTCCAAGTTATAGGAGGTAGGAGCTTCTTTGCATTTTTGTGTCTATTCCTCTTTGTTCTTTGAGTTTTTTTGTTGAACTTTCGGCTTTTTCTTATTTCCAGGCTTGTGGGTGATCTGATTTATTTAGATGTAGTGACTTTGGAAGGTAATAAATTTTGTATCACTGGAACGACAAAAACATTTTACGTCAATTCAAGCTCAGGGAATATTCTTGATCCAAAGCCAAGTAAAGCTACCGTTGAGTCAACCACCCTTATTGGACTCCTGCAAAAGATTAGCTCTAAATTCAAAAAAGGTACCGTATGTGTGGTTTTGCTTAGTATGCTGCTGTACAATAATTGGCTTTAACATAGACTTTCTGTGTTATTGTGTTCAAGCTTTCCGTGAGATTTTGGAACGAAAGGCTTCTGCTCATCCGTTCGAGAACGTTCAATCATTATTACCTCCAAATTCATGGCTTGGGGTATACCCGGTTCCTGGTGCGTCAGACTCTATAGTAGGAGAATTTATCTTCATGGTTGCATAGCTGTGTCGTTCGATAATTTCTTATTTTTCAGTGTGAATCAATCGATATCCTTCAAGCTTGTGATATAAATGCTGAGACGATTAACTTAACAATATCATGCCTAGGTGATAGATGGAGATGTCTTGAGGGTAAGAACAGTATGTTGTTTATTGTCTGAACTGTTCATTCTTTCAACAATATGTGTAAAACAAGTGCATTATCGTCAAGGATTCTCAGTTGTGGTACAGTAAAGCATGGCATAGTTGTTAGCACTCAGGATAATTTGCATTCCTTTTGCCTTTTTGTTAGCCTAATGGATATAACTTTTTAACTTTCGATTAAGCCAGCAGAATTAACTGCTTCCTGACCTTCTTGCTCATTTTCTGGCTCTGCCGTCTCAAACTTTTTAATCTGTTCTGTACATATTGAAGTTTTATATTGCACCTGATTTTTATATGATATATGCCAGCTTTTGACTTTTTGGTTTGATCAATATGTTAAAGATTCTGTTTTGGGGGAGCAAAACTTTTGTAATTTTTGACGTCTTCTTGTGGTGTATTATCATTTAACTTAAAGGAGAGGGAAAGTTTTAGGACTATGGAGAAACTGCATCTGTTTGAGGAATTTTAATGCGGAGTCAATTGCTGGAGATAATGGACACAGTGGACTAAACTGCACACAGTTTGTGAGTTTGAGTTCTTGAATTCATCATGTGAAAGTTCTGGTGTCAAAATTGAGAATTATAGTTTTGTTGAAAAATAAAGACCTTTCAGCTATCAATAAATAGAGCCGTATTAACTGGATTGCCTGATTATGGATAGATGATGAATTTTTTGTTGAAAATTCTTTGGGGGAACTTTGATTTATCCACGTTTAGTAAAGAAGTTCCAGTAGAATAGCCAGAAATTGCTATTAGAGAATGCTATACTAGTTCACGTTACATATTGGCTGGGAGAGGCATTGTGGAATGATTCATAAGGAAGACCCACCCCCAAATGGTTATCTCAGTGAGTACTCTTTTTGGGGGTTTGGCCATGTGATATGAATGGTATTAGAGTAGGACCTCCTTTTAGTAGATGTATGGTCACGGATAGACCAGGCTTCAGTCAATAAATGAGAGTGGGGAAGGATATTCGGGATGAGAGGACTTGCATAAGGTGTGACTCTTGGTATGCTTCTAGGATGGCAAAGAGGAGAAATGGACCTAATCACACATTTAAAGAGGGGTATAATGTTGGGCTATATGGGCTGGCACCGACGAGGATTTCGGTGTCTTAAGTGGGAGAATTTGTAACGCTTCAGATCCCACATTGGTGGATGATTTCTTGTGATGTGGTTCACAAGTAAGACCACCTCTAAATGGTTACCACCTTGAATGCTCCTTTTGGGCTTGGGCTATGTGGAAAGAGTTGGTATTATAGGTGCAATTCATTTTTTTTTTCTTAAGAAAAAAGTGCTTGAAGCTGGCTGATGCCACATCTCCTACTAATTCATATTTGATCACTTCTGTCATCAGATCATAGACGTGATGCAGCCAGAGCTGAGGATGCACTAACTCTTTCTTATGGTAGTGAGCTGATTGGCATGCAGAGAGATTGGAACGAGGAGTTGCAGTCTTGTAGGGAATTTCCCCATACAACTCCTCATGAAAGGTACACCGAATTACATGCTACAGATTTTGTCTGAATAAAAAACAATTCAATTTGATGCTTATTTAAGCATGTCCAATCTCTCTTCCCCTTTTTAATGAATTGCTGGTAATGAATGTACTTCCTTGCAGGATTCTGCGGGATAGGGCTCTCTACAAGGTGACTTCTGACTTTGTAGATGCAGCGGTAAATGGTGCTATCGGAGTCATTAGCAGATGCATACCCCCGATCAATCCAACAGATCCCGAGTGCTTCCATATGTTAGTGCTTCTTGAAATGGTCGTGATCTTGTTCTATTTATATAAGAGTTCGTTCTCAAAGAATATCTCTATGATTCTTTATCTAGTTTCTATGTGGTTTTCCCAGCCTTCCCTGATTATATGCTCTTGATGATTTCTTCCATTGTTCTCCTGGTTGAGATAAATTTTTATCGACGATGAAAACTAGTTTACTTTTTTTAAGTTTGAGGGCTACAGGCTTGGCCTCTTTTGATTCTGTGGCCTGTTTCAATACCTTCTTGGTATGCTCTTACCACTTGGCAAAATTATTTCCTTTTTGTCATCTTACTTGACAAATTATTTGTGTTTGCGTTTAGGTATGTCCACAACAATATATTCTTCAGTTTTGCTGTGGATGCCGACCTCGACCATTTGTCAAAGAAACGTGCATCTGATTCTACTTCGAAGGGCGAGAGCACAAATTCGTGCCACAAATTATCTGAGAAGGTGTCATCTGAGTTACCAAGTGCATCCATTGGAGTTACCGATGGAGAAAAAAACAAGTCAAATTCTGGTGGAAATGCTGTTACTATCCAGTCGGAACCTGATCTATCTGCCGAGACCCAGATGGGTGATAGCGAGCAGGCTACATATGCATCTGCAAATAATGATTTGAAGGGCACCAAAGCATATCAGGAAGCTGATGTTCCTGGACTTTATAATCTTGCTATGGCTATAATTGACTATAGGGGTCATAGGGTGGTAGCTCAGGTGGGTAAAATATTAGTATCTTCCTTTGCTGTTGTAATATCTTACAATTTTGAATCCTGACAAGGTTAACAGACTTGTGACACGTATAAAGATCACGTGTCAGATCTTTTTCTCTATTTCAAGCTGCACATTGGATAAAACACGGTCAAAACCTGATGCTTCCTCTAGGCTTCTATTTACTTGTATTTGCTTTTCACATTTAAGTCGGTCTTCCTTTTTAGTGTGCTTGCCTCATCATGTTAGCCTCAAGACTCGGTGGATTTTTTTGTTTACAGATAGCCAATTGCTGTAATTGTTAACTAAGTTGAAAAACTTGGTGATTTTGTCTGTCTCCTGATTGACATTTTCTATTGTCTTCTTCTCTATGCTGATTTTCTCCTGCTTTTAATTTTCAAATAGTTCCTTTACTAGATATGTCCACGATTTTTCTCTGGCTTTATGAAGTTGTTCTCTACACTTTTTATTGTAGAGTGTGTTGCCTGGCATCCTTCAAGGGGATAAATCCGAATCCCTTCTGTATGGTTCTGTTGATAATGGCAAGAAGATATGCTGGAATGAAGATTTTCATTCCAAGGTGAGGGGTAGTTTTTGTTTGTCGGACATTCCATTCATAGCCTATGTGCAAGATATGTGCATACTCTTACAAGAACCATATATGACTTTTGTAATAACACAACCAATCAACCTGACCTTTGTGGAAAGTTCTTCTAGCATATGAAGAGAGGAGGTCATACGTCAAATGCTCCATAGTGTCACTCCATTTTGGATCCTTTGTAGAGAGAGAAATGAAATGAAAGAAGGCATATCTGCTCTTCAAGTGAATGGTCTTATATACACACAAGACATTAAGAGATGCAGATGATTCCTTAATCAGCAAATAATATTGTGAAGAACCATTATTTCTGGTTGGTAATAAGTGTTCTGCTATTCTGTCTCGACTGCTGCAGTAGAATGTTTTCTTGGGGCATAAATGTGATAAATTCTGTGCCAAAAGTCTGATAATTCCAAGTAATGTAGCTTAGTTATTTTTCTTATGAAGTGGAATGCCAGCTAAGCATTTAGTTGCTTAAAACACTATTCCATCTACCCATATAAAGTGCTCTCTGCTATGTGAATTTTGTTTTTCGCACACACTCACACACAAGACTTGGTCATCATCTTCTCGCTTCTACGAGGATGGTTGTCAAATCAGGATTTGGGTACTCTGTTAAGGAGTTGAGACCATGAAAATTCTAAAGCAGAATTACGTAATGAATTAAATATAAGCAGCCAATGATTCTACTACCAGTTGAAATGGCATTTGTTTTTGGAAGTGGGTGGTCTGGGGCTAACCAACTTAATATAGCATTGTCCTATTCTCATACAAAATTTGGGAAGTGATTCAGCAACACTTCATTTTAAGTTGACTATAGTAAAAGACACAGTTATGAATGACCGAGTGTCAATTCTTAAATTATATAAGTTGTAATGCAGTGTTTGAGCCCAAAATGAACAAAAGCATCAAAATCTGTTGCTTGTGATGATGCCTTCTGCATAGCCCTTCCGCCCGAGCGCAGTTAAGGAAAACTGGGAATGTATTGATAGGCATTTCATTAATCAAGCTTGCACTTCAAATTTCTCAATCTAGCTTTCTGTGGTTCTCCCTTGTATGACCTGGTATTCTTGTCTTTAGGTGTTGGAGGCAGCAAAACGTCTTCATTTGAAGGAACATGCTGTATGTGATGGTTCTGGAAACATTTTCAAATTAGCTGCACCAGTGGAATGCAAGGGTATTGTGGGTAGCGATGACAGGTTATCCTCTTGGGGCAGCTTATCTTACCTCTTCTTGGTTTGCTGGTTGATATGTGATCATCTTAAGTCTAACATCACCTTTTACCCATAATTTGTTTGAACTATGTGCTTTTATTGTTCATGCCATTCTGGATATTTTCATTATCTTGCTGTTTTCCTCCTCAATAATTGTTGCTTATTTTTTTCCTTTTGGCTTGCACTAGTTCTTAAGGCGCCTTTCACATTATTCTCAGGGTACGCTAAACAGCTTAACAGTTTAGTGTGCACTGTCTGCTGGAGAGATACAATTCTAATGGGTAGAAGAATTGATTCCGTGATGATAGAAAAAAGAGAAGATTTCACTAACTGAGAAAGAGTTAAACAGTTGAGGTGCACATTTTTTATGTTTGGGGATGATTCCACTACAAGTGTAAAGTTACATAGCGCTTGGCTATGGTGATGTATTGACTGGATCTAAACTAATGTAGGGCATGCATCTTGCCATTTTTGTGCCACTATTGGAACTTAAAATTTAATTTTGGTTGCAGCATCTTGCTAAAGTGCGGTTGCTATATTGATTAAAATTCCCATTTGTCAAACATGTTTTTACATGGCATAAAATACTGTAGTTGGGGGAACTGAGACAAGACAGTTGAAAATTTCTTCTCATTTTATCTGCACGTTATTTATAGTGTGTGTGTCTCATAAGGTCCTCTTTCCATTTACTCTTTTGTTTTGATTTAGGCACTATCTTCTTGACTTGATGAGAGTAACTCCTCGTGATGCAAACTACACTGGACCTGGATCTCGATTTTGTATTTTGAGACAGGAATTAGTCACAGCTTTTTGCCAGGTAGCTCATGCTATTACTGTAGTTAAGTGGTTCAGCCATCTTCATGATTTCTTACTTAAAATTTTTCTATTGAGAAGGCCCAGGCTGCAGGGAGATCGAAACAGAGTTCAAGCTCTGATACTGTCCGTGACTCACCAACTGATTCTTTAAGAGTTGCCAGAGATAACGGACTTGGGAATGCTGATGCTGGTGTTGGAGGATTTTCCGACAGTAAGGTAGTTACCTTATCTTTCCCCTTCAATTGGTATTGGGCAATTATAGTTTAGTTCTATCCAGGCATTTGTAAACTTGGCATTATATCCCCTGAATATCACATCAGGGCATTGTGTATGTATCATTCAGATAATATGCTATAGCATCTTTAAATTGGTGAATAGTATTGGTTACTTCGTGCATGACTTAATCTCAAGTCCCAGCAATGGTTGATTCATGGCGTCATATGTTTTTTTGCGGCTCTAAGAAAGAGTTGATTAGTACGTATAACTGTCTTTGTCTGTACAGCTTGTTTGAACAAGAACTTGGCATAATCTGAAAACCCAGCATTGTTCTAGGTGATTGGTGTTCTTCGTCAAAAGAGAGAAAATCGGTCATTCTGAGTAGATGCAGAAGTTTATGTGTTTTCTATTGGCCGAAGTCAAGTAGGTTGTGCCATTCCCATATTCAGTGTTGGAACTCTTTAAGGTGCTTGAAATGATCTAGCAATCAGCGGAGATCAATTATCTGTCTGGAAAGACTCAAATAGTCTTTGAGGGACTGGAATTTCCATTTCATAGCTAAAAATATGAATACATAACTCTATTCTGAGCTTAATCTTTGTCTATCTACGCCCTCATGCGCAATCTCTTATTTATTTTCCTTTGTGTTTGGGTACAGTATTTCCCTGACTTAATGTATTAGATGTGCCATTTTGCTTCAACAAAAGTACGCTTTATTTTATTTTATTTCATTTCATCTATTGAAGATTGAAAAAGGGCCAAAGTCATCCTACATGGCATGAAAACTGAATTGTTCCCGCTGTGTGTACACATAAGAATTTGCCCCCGTTTTACCTTCTTACTAAAATGATCGCTGCATCTTGCAGGACATCAGAGAAGAGGGGACTGATGCTGTGCAACAATGTCCTCCTGCATCTGCTGAAATCTCTGAATCTAATGATGAAATACTTTTCAACCCTAATGTTTTAACTGAATTTAAGTTGGCTGGGAATGAAGAGGCAAGTTTGGTATCTTGCGCTTTGTTCTTATGTACTCAAAAGTCAAAACTTCTTATGCCTTTATCACGGCCTGTCTTTATTAGGAAATAGCAGCAGATGAAGAAAATGTGAAGAAAGTTAGTTTGTATCTAAAAGAAGTTGTGCTGCCAAAGTTTATACAAGATCTTTGCTCCCTTGAAGTTTCTCCCATGGATGGCCAGACATTAACTGAAGCCCTCCATGCCCATGGAATCAATGTTCGTTATATTGGAAAGGTGACTTTATAAGATAGAAGTTTAAGCTTATCTAAAGCTTTAAAGTCAGGCTTGAACAAAAAAAATTGAACTTAATGAAGAATTCATAGAAGTTGAGTGTTATATTCTTTATTAATTTACTCTTGAATTTTGCAAACTGCATTTTAATGACAGGTGGCGGATGGGACCAAACATTTGCCACATCTTTGGGATCTATGTTCTAATGAAATTATGGTTAGGTCAGCAAAGCACCTGCTGAAGGTCAGTCTGGATTGTCAAGTTATCTTTGGTAGATTTCTAAATTCTTGGTGAAGAACATAACCAAGAAATAAAGCTGCTTTGGTTTAGTGCTGTTGGATATTGTGATTGTTGGCTTATTGCTGCTAAAGTTTTTTTTTTGGTTAATTTTACCTACATTTACGTTGAGAAAATGATGCATCACATTTTACCTGGAAAATCTTGTACTAGGAGTAAACACCCAAATTAAATGCATGTTGAGAATGTTGGCAGATCCATGCATGGATTACCAAGTTCAGGTGACATATATCGTAGCAGAAACTCTTCAAGCCAGAGCTGCTAATAGGCTTATGGCTTTCTTTGGTGTGAATACTTGATATCTGCAAGCATACTTTGAGTTATTTGCATGCATGCAAGTAGTGAAGCATTTAGTTTCTTTGGTTTAGACTCTGAATGTTGAATCTTAAATTTGTCTTTTTAATTTCGTACGATGAAGCTGAGAATTGTTGTTTAGTTCCTTGAGCCTGTATTACATGATATGCTATGGTTACGGAGACCAATCTTATTGTTCTTTATTGATTTTGCAGGATAGTTTGAGGGATACGGAAGATCATGATATTGGTCCTGCAGTATCACATTTCTTCAATTGCTTCTTTGGACAGAGTCAAGCCGTTAATCTGAAAGGGATGGGTAACAATGTGCAGTCTAGGATCCAAAAGAAGGTACAATATAATTCTCGATAGTTTGCCATTCTTTCATTAGTGGTGATATTGCAGGCAGTTAGCTGTGTTAGTGTAATAGTATGTTAGGAAAGGGGAAGCGTCTTCTTAACAGAGAAATTGCTGGATATTTTTGCTTGAGAAGTTTAAGCTAGTCACGTCTAAAGCAATAGCTTAGTTTAGCATCCAGGGAAATCAGGTCATTATATATATACTGTCGATTGTCATCAGGACCAAGGTGGCCACCAATCTTCGGGCAAGTCTTCAAGAGGGCAAGCTAGATGGAAAAGCAGAGCTTCTCTGAAGAAGATTCAATCTTCATGTATGAATATTAGTTCAGACACCCTATGGTCTGACATTAAAGAATTCGCGAAGCTCAAATATCAGGTAAGTTCTACGTCCTTGAGTGAACCCCCAAAGGTAGAGCTTCAGGAATTAATCTGGATGCGGTGCATAAAGCTGCAGGCATGTGTAAGACTAAACCACCAGTTGGTTGATCTTATCTTCGCTGAATCAAGCTACATAAAAAAAATAAATAAAAAAAAACTTTTAATGCTGAAATGCTTTAGCCTGGTAGTAACCATTTGTGTGATGATATGATGTTGAAAGTGCATAGAATCCTCAGGACCTGAACAAGCCTAAGCTAAACATAGTTTACAACTTAGATCTGTTTCTCATCCCCTATAAGTTTGCATTTTCTCCAAGGAACAACGAATTGGCCTAGTGGTGCTATGCCAGAAAATTTTCATGTTCTTGACTTTTGTGCTCTTATCCACCAACTTGTCCTACCATGTGTCTCTGTTTTATAGTTTGAGTTGCCGGAGGATGCAAGACAACGTGTGAAGAAAGTTGCAGTTTTGCGCAACTTCTGCCATAAGGTTTAGTTGAATTTGCATTTTGTTTTATTTATTTGAGTTTCCATGACGTGAATCTGTGTTTGATTAGATATTTTCTGGATTGTGAAGGTTGTTGGACAGGGAAAATTGTCATATATCTTGTGGTGATATTTAATATTTATGGGATGCCAAGGTGAATTTGTTTAATGTATCATGACACTTTTTTGTATGTCTTCACAATAGGTCGGCATATCTATTGCTGCTCGCAAGTATGATTTCGGTGCTCCACTACCATTCCAAACATCTGATATCTTGGATATCCAACCTGTAGTGAAGCATTCAATTCCCGTGTGTACAGAAGCAAAGGATCTTGTGGAACTCGGGAAAGTCCAACTGGCAGAAGTAATAGCTCTTTATGTGTTTGTTCAATTTTCTGTTTTTTCGAATTTGGGGTTTTAAAAGTTCATGTAAAAGTGATATGGTGGTAGGTTTTATTCTGTAGAGAGTTTGTGGTATTGGTTAGTGAATTTCTGCTTAATTAGAAATGAAATAAATCAGGTAGATCAGATACATATACCTTTTTCCATCTGTAAGTATGCGTAACCAATTGTCCGGGTTTGCCGACTTTTCTTTATTTACTTTGCCTACTTTTGAAAACAATAAAATTTAATCCCTTGATCAATTTTTCCTTCCCATATGTCTAAGACTCTATTAAGTCCTGTGGCCCTTCTGTTTCAGGGAATGCTTAGTGAAGCATACACATTGTTTTCGGAGGCATTTTCAATGCTTCAGCAGGTACATATTGTTTCCGTCCATTAAAATTGCCTTGTGGATGTTGTTCATCATCGTTGTTACATCTTTCAATTAATGTATTGCAGGTAACAGGTCCAATGCATCGAGAGGTAGCTAATTGCTGTAGGTACATATCATAACTTGAACCTCTCATGAAGTTGCAGTTATAATTTTGATTACTTTATTGCCATGAACCACGTGGGAACTAACAATTTTTGCTGTAATGTCGGATATAAGCTGGAGCTTTAATTCTTGACTGCAATGACTTTGTATTTGTCTCTATTTTCTGGTTATAAAGCAAGTAATGTGTGTAACTTTATTAATTCGACTTTCCAGGTACCTTGCGATGGTTTTGTATCATGCAGGAGACATGGCAGGGGCCATAATGCAGCAGCACAAGGAATTGATTATAAACGAACGATGCCTGGGTTTGGATCATCCTGACACTGCCCACAGGCACTGTTCTTTTCCCCCTCCCCCGGCCTCTTCCTTCTGTTTCATAAATAAATTGGTGCTTGGATATGATTATCAAGTCTATCTTGTCAATTGTTGGTGTAGGGTGTAGGCCTTCTTTCCTTGGATGTTTGAAAGTTTATGCATGTTGATTTTTACTTGATTTATGCTGATTTTCAAAATCCACCCTCCCCCGGTTCTCTCGCTGTTGTTATTGTGGGTATAAATCTTTGCAATAATTCCTGGTTGCAGCTATGGAAATATGGCTCTTTTCTACCATGGACTTAATCAAACAGAACTTGCTCTAAAGCATATGGCACGGGCATTACTCCTACTTAGTTTGTCATCAGGCCCTGATCATCCAGATGTTGCTGCAACATTCATAAATGTTGCAATGATGTACCAGGATATGGGAAAGATGGATACAGCTCTTCGTTATCTGCAGGAGGCATTGAAAAAGAATGAGAGGCTTCTGGGGGAGGAGCATATTCAAACTGCCGTGTGCTATCATGCACTTGCAATTGCATTCAATTGTATGGGTGCCTTTAAGCTCTCTCATCAGGTGTGTATGCGCTTCAAGCAATTAGTCCGTCAATGATGTGCTATAACAGATGACTAATGTTGCCTTATTATGCCAGCATGAGAAGAAAACTTATGACATACTTGTTAAGCAACTTGGTGAGGACGATTCACGGACCCGTGACTCGCAGAACTGGATGAAGACATTCAAAATGCGTGAACTTCAGGTAAACAGATGATATAGTTGGTTGACATAGTATTTACTTTTGGACAGTTCATTCTTATTTTTCTGTTCTAGTAAACTCATCACTTTTCTCTGTCAATGCTATGTGGGCAGATGAATGCACAAAAGCAGAAGGGCCAAGCTGTGAATGCAGCTTCTGCTCAAAAGGCTATTAATATTTTGAAGGTACTTTTCGATGACTTTTCAGTTTGTGCTTGGCTAGATTGTTTCAAGCTATGAGATATGTTAATGGTAGTGGCATAATCTCGAACATATGAAGGATAAAGAATTTGGAAAAGGCAATATCTTTGAACATATCCACCAAAAGTTACATTTCATGCGACTTATACTCTCCGCCAGAGCTTTGTAGATAAAACATTAGCCATGCTGGTTTGCTGAAAGGCAAAGGTCCATCTGTCTTGCTAAAAGGTTGTCGAGGTCCCATTTGGACAATGATGTTCTGCCTCCCTGCAATATTTGGCTCCTTTTATGAATTTTGTGATTCAATCAACCATCTGTGTGTGTGTAATGGTTCTCTTTTTGCTCAACAGGCTCATCCAGACTTGATGCATGCATTTCAAGCTGCTGCTGCATCTGGGGGATCTGCAAGTTCCAGTACGTCTGTTAATCAGTCAATTAATGCTGCCATTATTGGCGAAACTCTTCCACGAGGAAGAGGGGTTGATGAAAGGGCAGCACGAGCAGCAGCTGAAGTAAGGAAAAAGGCTGCGGCTAGGGGTCTCTTGATACGTCCACATGGTGTTCCTGTCCAAGCTTTGCAACCCCTTACGCAGCTTCTCAATATCATCAATTCAGGAATGACCCCTGAAGTTGTCAATAGTGAGGAAACTGATGGGTCGAAGAAGGAAGTCAATGGCCATTCTCAAAATGGCTCTGAAGATAAGAATGACCAAGTACCGTCTGTAGAAGTTCAGCCGCCAGTTGGATTGGGCCGAGGCCTGGGATCTCTTGAAACAAAAAAGCAGAAGGCAAAGCCGAAAGTTGCTGATTAAGTTCAGAGGGCAGACCATTTGGGCAAAGGAGTTTTCTCTAAAGGTCAGATTACAGCTGTGCTATGATGTTTTCAAAAATTCAAAGCACCGCGGCAATTTACTGATAGTACCCATCAGTACGCTTATGCTTCTCAATTCGGCAATTTTTTTTGCTATGCAAGATTCAGCTCGCATGCCGTCGGGTTCTGAGGAAGTTATAGTCAGAATAATCTTGTCATTATTTTTGTTATCATCGTTACGAAATTTTGTTGGCTATTGTATTGCCGATGTTGTCAAGGCATCTAAAAGGAGTTTTTGCATTTCAATGTATTGTACGAGACAACTTGTAAACGAATTTTAGAAGTCGTAATAGAAATTTGAGTGAACCATGGCATTCTATGCTGCCCTTAGTCCCTGCTGATCTCTCGTGGTAGCAGATGGGTTTCATCTGGAGTCTCTAGAGGATTGAATTTTCAATGGTTTTGGACCACCGCGCAGAGAGTGAAGCCACTGAAGTGTCTCTTCAGTTAAGAATCCGAATCCTTTGTTGATTAAGCTTCACTTGTTGCTGGCACCTTTGGTTCTGCTGGGACTGGACGCTCGTCCTTCCTGTATGAATCTTTTTACCTTGCTAGAACCTTTTGGTACATGCCTTGCCGCTGGAGGGAAGAACTTTTCCTCCTGTGGACATCATCGTACACTAATCAATCTGGACACGCACTTTATTCTTCTTTCTCCGCTAAGAAGCAACGGCGGAGCAAACAACCGCAAAGAGGAACAACTTGACGGGGGAAGCCACCCAAAAGTTTGAGTCTTGTTAGTAAAGGTGATAATTTGGCCAGACGTCTGTCTTTACACTAGGATGGCGCAACCGCTCGCATTGGGCTCTAAAGGTTAGCGGTGCATTGGCTTCACCAATGTTACGAGTTGAAAAGATTTCTATAGACTGACGGGCAACTTCTTCAATCGATAACATGTTAGTTTACCAACAATTATTATAGAAATACAAAGAGTTATTTAACTAGTTACGTGTTGTTTAGTTACCAATAGTTATGGTATCGATATTTAATTAACTTTTGAATTATCTATTATTACTATAAAATATCACTATTAACTTGTGTAGCTTTCCAATGCATATAGTTACAAGCTTTCGTAGAAAATTACCAACTCTTACCATAAAAGCACAGGGAGGAGCAACTAGTCGTTACCATAAAGGTCTCCACCTACTGTGAAATGTTCGGATTGATGCATAACTATTCCGCACCACTTATGACTCGAAGGTTTGCGATCCTTTGCTAAAGTTACACTCTCTTGGCAACTAGCGGTAGCAACCCCCCTCTAGGCCTTACCAATATTTATTTACTAAAGTTGTCATTGAGTAAAAGTTACTAAGTCTTATAATAAAGTCCCAATTTAGTCTGAGTGATTTACCAACCCTTCACGGACAAAGTCACTACCTAGTATTAGCTTTATTAACAATCATTTACCTTTAGTTACCAACGTTTATTTAATTATTTTGAAATTACTTTGAGTCCCTTTTCTAATGTTTATTCGATCGTATCTTTAACAAGTTGGAAATCTCCCCAAACAAATGTGGTAAATTATTGGAACAGTTGATACTTTTAAAACAATCATATAAAGCCAGTAAGTTACTTAAATAAGAGTTGGAAATTTCATGAAGAGTTGGTAACTTAAGTTCTGCAAAAAAATGTTGATAAATTACGTGAATGTAGTTGATAATTTTGAAAAAAAGTTGGCAATTTCATATAATAATAGTAATTTAACTTGTCAGTAGGCTCTCCAAATTAACATTAATAAACTATTGAAACATTTTGTGCATTACAATCAAAGAAAAGATGGTAGCAAACTCAAATAAGAGCCGATATTTTCTTATAGGAGTTATTACCTTTTTTGGGGTTGATAAATTACCATAAATGTTAGTAAATTATTGGAACAATAGGTAATTTTGAAACAATCAAATAAATGCTGGTAACTAAATCAAACATCAATTGGCAACTCAAAGTAAGAGTTGATAAAGTAAGCTGTGGAAATAATTGTTTGCAAATTATTGGAGTAGTTGGTACTTTTGAAAATAGCTGTAATTCAGTAGAAGAGGTAGTAACTTGTTGGTAATTTCAACAAACTGGGTGAATTAGAGGAATGGTCGGTAATTTCCAAAAAAATGTAGTAAATGTTGGTAATTTCTTAGAAAAGTTAAGTAAACGTAGGTAAGTTTTTACCAAAAAAAAAAGTGGTAATTATTAGAAGAGTTGGTAATTTCGCAACAATCAAACAAATATCAGTGGTGACTCAAAGAAAAGTCTATAAGATGTAATAAATTAAAATCTTGGTAACTTTAACAAATAAATTTTGGTAAAGTATTGAAACGGTTGGCAATTTCGAACAATCCAACAAGCATTGGTAAATAAGACCTGGTAATTTTCTATAAGAAATAGTAAATTTGACAAGTCAGTGAACTTCGAAAGTGACTTTATTAAAACTACTAGTAATTTCGAAACTAGCAAATAAATGTTGGTAACTCACTCAAATATGGGTTGGTGTTCACTTTCACATTTGTTCATCATAGAACCACGTGAACTTCGTAATGATGTTGTGCTTCCTCAAAAACATATTGTAAATTAACTCACAGACCACAATCACAAAGAATAACTAACGCTTTTTTTTTAGTTCAAATAGCTTTTTCGAATTGAAAACAACGGTAATTGTTTTCAAAATTCTAGTCATAAAAATCAAAATGGATTTGTGTGATGTTCACATTATTTTTCATATCAAATGACAAAAACACGGGGCTAAAACAACTATTTGAAAAGCTCTCTTTCATGATTTTGGCGGCATATAAGCATTTTAATCGCCTTTAATTCAGAACAAAGCTCTTTGTTAAATAATTGAAAATGGCAATCATTTCTAAAACAAATCGGGTTCTAAGATTCCACCCACTCTTTTACTTTTTCCAAGTTCGATTCAATAGCAGGTGTTGCCTACTTCCCATGCATGTGAGCCCAATTCACATGCACCGTTGGATTAGATGCGGCTCACGGATCCCACGCAACCACTAGTTTATGTGAGCCGAGTGCACACGATCCAGACGTAGTTAAGTTTTTTTTTTCACAATTCAGTATATGCGCTCCATCCCCAATCCTTTAACAACTATTTGGACCCATCCCAATTTCAGTAAAAATTAAATTGTAAAACATGTATTTTATTGTTTATTCTCAATTTTCTTGTAAACCTAATTGATTCATGAAAATAAGTTTCCTCAAGAGGAATAAAAAATTTGAGCACATGGTTAATGATGTTCAAATAGTACGTCGATTGTGTCCTATTAACTTACTGCCGTCCCTTGTTTATTCACTTCAAACACAACATGATCCTTAATCCATCATTTAAATTGGTAGAAAAGCGCCGGATTTGATCACTTCAGGATTCCTTTAACAAAGCTTCAAGTAATCTCCGATTAACGAATAAGCTGGAGGCCAACTCAAACGAATAGAATTCATGCTAGAAGGTGAGGTGCCAAGCTTCATTACAGAAAACAATGAGAAGAAGATGAATCCGCGAAGCGTCCAAAATCGAAATAGAGAAGATCATAGCAGCAACAGCAAATTACTTTGTATTGAAAAAGAGAACATGGAAAATGATGTTTGTTCTATGATGTATTACTGATTGCATTTTCATGTGATGTTTCTCATTTTCATAAGAGAAGGAAAATTGGCTAGATCAACTCTGCAATCAGTTGTTCGAGAAAAGGTCCATTTCTGTCCTGGTCCTAGTCATTTTCTCCAAGCATATCAATAAGAATTTCATGCTTTCTCTGCACTTTCACTATTCCTTCCTCAGCAGGCTTCTTCATCAAAGCATTCCTTTCTTCTCGTAAACAAACTCACCCTCTAGCCACTGTGCTTCAAAAGGGAAGAATCTGAACTTTCTCATACTCGTTAGCTGCCTTCTTTGTTGGGACTTCCTTGCTTCCAAATTGAGTCTAAGCTTTCTTGTGGGCTTCTGCCCCACTTTTGGTATCCTCTTATATCAGAAGAATAATTACGAAAGGGACCATGAAGCTAGGATCCATATATCACCTGTAGCTACCCCGAGAAAACAACTAATGACAACCTCAATCCCATTTGTCAAAAGAAACTCCTTCCCAATATTGTTGAGATCAAAACCTGCATTTCAAGCCATTCAAGTTTTCTCAGAAGAATAACTTGGGACGTTTGATTTCCCAGCCTAAACTTCTTGAAGGGCTGTAATCCTTGCTAGAAGATTGCAAGGAAGGCAAGGAAGCGTATCAAAGAGTTACACTTCGTCGTTCTTCCAACTTGTCAAAGGTGAGATTGGTAAAAAATGTTTGTCTTGCCATAGTCCCCAATAATTTGCTCTTCTTTCACTGCGACTCTTGGAGAACGAGATTCCAGCCAAGCAAACATGCTGAGAAGGTTATGCCACTTCCCATGTTTCTCTAAACACCCTCTTGCTTTGGCAGATTCAGGACAGAGGTAGTTGAACTTGAAGCCTACATTCTTCTAGAGCTAAAGCATCAGGTAATATTAAATTCTAAATATGCTGAATATGTTTGCTCTGGTTGTTCATCAGAATCTCAATTGAGGTAACTCATCATGCAGAACCAAGTAGTGCTGTTAAGCTAGCACACATTATTTTGGAAAACACCTAGCAAGTCAAGCTGGTCCATTCACCATGCACTCAGCTGCTCCCCAAACCCAAGCACCTGATCCAGATGATTATAAGGTCAAAGAAGCCAATCCTGAGCTTGGTGAACGGTGGCTAAACAGTGGATCATATGGCGGCAGAGGGTGGATGAGCAGCGAGAGATTCACAAGCACATACGACCTTGTAGAACAGATGTTCTATTTATACGTTCGAGTCGTAAAAGCTAAAGATCTTCCTCCAAGCTCCATAACTGGGAGCTGTGACCCTTATGTGGAGGTCAAGTTGGGGAACTATAAAGGAAGAACGAGGCATTTTGAGAAGAAAATGAACCCAGAGTGGAAGCAAGTTTTTGCTTTCTCAAAGGACAGAATCCAATCGTCGGCACTTGAGGTTTTTGTGAAGGATAAGGAAATGGTGGGAAGAGATGATTATGTTGGCAGAGTGGTTTTCGACCTGAATGAAATTCCTACTAGGGTTCCTCCTGACAGCCCATTGGCGCCACAGTGGTATAGATTGGAGGACAGGAGGGGAGGGGGGAAAGTGAGGGGAGAGATAATGCTGGCAGTTTGGATGGGTACTCAAGCTGATGAAGCCTTTCCTGAGGCATGGCATTCTGATGCTTCCTCTGTCTATGGGGAAGGTGTATTTAATGTTCGATCAAAGGTTTATGTGTCACCAAAGCTCTGGTATCTCAGAGTGAATGTCATTGAAGCTCAAGACGCGCTTCCCAGTGACAGAAGCCGATTGCCAGATTTATTTGTCAAAGCTCAAGTTGGCAGTCAAGTACTAAGGACGAAGATATGTCCAACTCGCACAAGCAATCCACTTTGGAATGAGGATCTAGTTTTTGTCGCAGCTGAGCCTTTTGAAGAGCTTCTGGTCATTACAGTCGAAGATCGAGTTCACCCTTCGAAAGAGGAAATGCTAGGGAAAATAATTCTCCCGCTCGACACATTTGAGAAGCGGCTTGACCACAGGCCAGTTCATTCTCGATGGTTCAATCTTGAAAAGTATGGCTTTGGAGCCCTGGAAGCGGACAGGAGAAAGGAGCTGAAGTTTTCCAGCAGGATTCACCTGAGAGTCTGCCTCGAAGGTGGATACCATGTCTTGGATGAATCAACCATGTACATAAGTGATCAGCGGCCCACATCAAGGCAGCTTTGGAAGCCGCCAGTGGGCATATTGGAGGTGGGTATTCTAAGTGCACAAGGGCTCCTCCCAATGAAGATGAAGGACGGTCGAGGGACCACAGATGGATATTGTGTAGCAAAGTACGGCCAGAAATGGGTTCGGACAAGGACGATTCTTGATACGATGAATCCTAAGTGGAATGAACAATACACATGGGAGGTCTATGATCCTTGCACTGTGATGACATTAGGAGTCTTCGACAATTGCCATTTGGGTGGAGGTGAGAAGTCAGCTGCGGGCAGTGCAGCAAGAGATTCACAAATTGGCAAGGTACGAATTCGCCTCTCGACACTAGAAGCTCACCGTATCTACACACATTCTTACCCACTTCTGGTTCTGCAACCACAAGGTGTAAAGAAAATGGGTGAGTTACAACTTGCATTTCGGTTCACTACCCTTTCTCTCGCCAACATGATCTATGTCTACGGACACCCTTTGCTACCAAAAATGCATTACTTGCATCCTTTTACTGTTAATCAAGTAGACAATCTCAGATACCAAGCAACGAATATTGTGGCGGTGAGGCTTGGGAGAGCTGAACCTCCTCTCAGAAAAGAGGTGGTGGAGTATATGCTAGATGTGGACTCACACTTTTGGAGCATGAGGAGGAGTAAAGCCAACTTCTTTCGCATAATGTCACTCCTTTCAGGAATGATTAATATGGGCAGGTGGTTTGGGGATGTCTGTAACTGGAAGAACCCCATGACATCAGTGTTGGTTCACATCTTGTTTCTGATACTAATATGGTATCCAGAGTTGATACTACCAACTCTATTTCTGTACATGTTCCTCATCGGACTATGGAACTATAGGTTTCGTCCAAGGCACCCACCTCACATGGATCCAAAGCTTTCATGGGCAGAGGCTGTGTACCCAGATGAGTTGGATGAAGAATTTGATACTTTCCCTACTTCTAGGCCGCACGATATTGTCCGAATGAGGTATGACAGACTTAGGAGTGTTGCAGGTAGGATTCAAACTGTCGTGGGCGACATAGCAACACAAGGAGAGAGATTGCAATCCCTACTCATTTGGAGAGACCCAAGAGCAACAGGCCTTTTCATCATGTTTTGTCTTTGTGCAGCCGTGGTGCTTTATGTCACTCCTGTCAAAGTAGTGGCCCTAGTGACAGGACTGTATTACTTGCGGCATCCCCGTTTCCGGAGCAAACTCCCTTTAGTCCCAAGCAATTTTTTCAAGAGATTGCCTGCTCGCACGGATGGTTTACTGTGACGAAACAATCGCCGTACTTCTGGTTTGCCTGCTGTTTCATATTAGATGCATCCAATCTATGTTCTGACACACTGCTTTGTGTAATATAAGGGTATTGTGTACTCCATTTGGGTGATGAAGTTAAGCTGGTATCGCAATGTTTATGTCCAACGTTGAAGATAATTGTACCTGTATCCATTAGATATCCCACAATGTATGCCCTTTTGATCTTTCCGATTTCTAAATCACAAAGCAGCAATGCCAGACATCTTTAGCACGCTAATACCATGTCAAAAACACAACAAGCACTCTTAGATTAACAGCTTTAACTGGCAAATCATTCTCAGAGCTGCAAGAGAGAATAGCTAAACAAAATCGATTGCATGGCAGAATCAGCTCCCAAAAGATGAAGTTCTGATTAATCCCAGGCACAATCCATAACAACGATCTGCCTTAAGATTAGATTACTCGATATAAACGTAATTTAGATGGCAACGGCTGAGAACAAGTTCCACAGGACTACAAAACAAGATTTGTTCAGTCATGCGATATAGGCCACTGGATGTATTAGTATAAAGTCCTTTCACATATAACCCCGCCGCCTTTTACATATAACCCAAATAAATTGACGGGAGATGACCAAGTCCAGTATCCCAATAAAGACGGAGAATGCAGTCAAATTTCACATAAACCTTAACCATAAGGGAGAGGCATGGACTATTATTCAAAGGAAAAAGCCTTTTACTATCGAGACTGACATCAAAGCGCATGCCAAAAAATGCAGGGAGGGACATGGCCTGACAATCAAAGAGGCAAAGCCCTTTACTACGCTCAGATGTTAAATCAACATTTAACAACCTTCACAGAAAACAAAAATGATGAACTAATCCCACAACATAATTGTAAGTACCGAAAGTCAACAGAATGTCAGGATTGCTGAATTCAGAGAAAAGAAAATTGCCTCACAAAGTATGTATTGCCTCTGAAAATGACAACGTTTAGATGTCTATAGCAATGTGAGAATAAAAAGTACACATGATGAGATAACAATGCTCAAAGTAGCAAAAACTGAGAAATCCTAGCACTATACTTCATCCTCTAGAAGACGAGTTCATGAGGTTTCATGCCTGCCTTGAGGGAGAACCTGGCAGCCAAATAGGTCTTCAAATCCGGCACACCTTCAATGGATTTTATCAATGGAGTATCCACTGACTTCTGGTCATCTTTTTTCTCCTGTGGAAGCACATTCTTCTCCTACATTTCGAAAAGAAAAAGAGCAAGAAAAGTTAAATGTTGCAATGCTGGCAGAGGAATCCTACTCCCCTGTTGAGAAGATGACAAAACTATTTCATGGAACTGACCTCCTTCTCGGCCTCAAAGAACTCGCCCTCTCCTTTCTTCTTCTTCTTCTCAACTTTCTTTGCAAAATACTTGTCATCAAATTTCTCAAAATTAACAACAGATATGTCAACCTTAGTGGATGTTGCAATCAAATAAGATTGATTAACCCTTCTTAGAGGAACACCATAAATCTTGAACGGACCTGAATTTAGAGGATAAAAATAGATTAATGACAATACAGGAGTGGTTGTAGGGAAAAACAATTACAAACTTATGTTCTTTGTGACCTCTGTATAAGCCATGCCTGGCATAAAGTAATACACTACAGCCACGTGACTAAGCTGAAAAAAAGTAGCTACGCCCTCCCTTACTTATTAAGGAATGTAACTTTAGTCAGTCGATTTTTCATGCTAGAGAACATAAATTAGTGAATCGAACGCATGAAGTAGATTGCAGAGGCGACTGATGTTGCAGCGCTGAAAAAGATAACTCATCATGAACCAGATATTTGCAATGTACAGACGTAGAACCGTGGGAAGATGGGAAATGTAAAATCTGGATGCTTTCACAAAGTTGTTTCTGCTTCTAAAAGGGGACAACTGCTCCAGCAGAATGCTTGGCAGGATTTCAAAAGTAAAAACGTGGAAGCTCAAGCGAGTAAATCTTAGCTCCCAACAAGAAGTCGGGGGTTGTTTATACGACACTCGGTTCTAAATGTTGTATCATACAGTTACTCTTAACTATCAATACATCCTAACTCCACAACAACAATTAATATAGGCACCGTATAACCACATCGAATTCATGTGAAGTAAAATCAAGTTCGAACATGCTAAGCCAAACACAAAACGCCACAGTAAATACGCACCGAGATAAAAGCACCTAACAAAGGGAGGGAACTTCCCGAGTCAATCGATGCCCAAGTACGTAACTTTAACATAGTACAGGACACATGCATATGAATTTTTCACCTACAACAGAATGTATTGTACTGAAGCATCAAAGTTTGCTCCCCATGCTCACAAATTCTGCAGAGGGTAACCCAATCTGGATTGACTAAAGACGCAACTTAAGAGGAAATCGCGCCATCAAAATTCAGACTTAGGCAGCTCCGGCGTATGCAAGGACATCCAATTAGCAAATGGTGGATGTCGAGAGAGAGAGAGAGAGAGATGGAGAAGGATGAACTCACCAGTGATGAGGAGCAAACCGGAGGGGAGCTGCTTGAGGAAGACAACCCGCTTACCCTTGAAGCGGCCGGCGAGGATGATGAGGACGGTGCCGGGGGAGATGGATGAGCGGAGCTTGGTGGGCCTGGGGTTGCGCTTATTGAGGAGGGGCTTCTTGACGTCGTCGGCGGGATAGAACTTGGGGGACTTGGTGATGGGAAGGGAAGGCTTGGGGGCGGGGGCGTGGCGGGGGAAGGCGCCGCCGTTCTTGGCCTTGATGGCCCAGAGACCACGCTTGTGGTACATCCGAGACCTCGAGTACTTGCCTATCCCTCGGATCAGCTCCGGGTTCCTGCTCACCTTCTTCGCACTCTTGGGCGCCATTGTTAATGTTGGGATCTCCTCTGCTCTTCCTCCCTCTCTGTGCCCCCTCAGAAAAATTGAAAAGAAAGAAGACGACTCGCTCGCTCAGGTCGGCGCGACCGGAGGGGCATATAAATCTAGTTCTGCAGTTCTTCTTCTGGTCCCCGGAAAGAAACCCTAGAGGGACGGTCAATGTGGCCGATGGGCTTTGAGTTTTGCTCAGTGGGCTCGGCCCATTTACATTGCTCAGTAGATGTGTTGTGTTGGGGGGGGATGGGGGGGGAAAGGAAATGGATAATCTTTGCAGGGGAAGATAGAACGAAACTCCTCCTACGCACCGCCACTCCCTCCACCTCCGACAATCCTCCTCCTCCTCCTCCTTCATTTTTTGGCTGGTTTTGCTGTGCTTCCTTCCTCTCTTCCCTCCTCCCATGGCATCATTATCAGCAACATTATCTTTGCTGCTCTCCTCGGTGCCGCCTCACAGGCTCTCCCGTCGCTCCCACTCCTTCCGTTCGTCGTCGTCGTCGTCCAATGCAAAGCAGCTCTCTGTCCCGATCCTCGACTTCAAGCCCCTCCTCGCCTTCCCTTTTCCTCTCAAACCTACCGCCGCCTCCCCCTCCTCCCCCTTCACCCCGCGTGGACTGTCCTTGAAGAGAGTTCGTGTGTGCGCCGTCGCGGAAGAAGCCGCCGTCGCTTCTTCTCCTTCTTCGGAGGGCGCCGCCGCCAGGAGGCTCTACATCGGCAACATCCCCAGAGACGTCGACAACGCCCAGCTCGCCCAAATCGTTGAGGAACACGGCGCCGTTGAAGCAGCTGAGGTACTACTCCCAATCCAATGCACGTCTTTCAGTCCTGATTAGGGATTCTCTTCATTGTCCATCCTCTTTGTCTGTCGGGTCCAGTCCCCTGGTTAATGATTATGCTTGGTCCGCATCATGCTGTTCAGATTGTAGATTGCATCTCACTCGTGGCTTTTTACCGAAGCCCATTATGAATGTATGTCCAAATCACAAATTGAGTGGCTACATGAGCGGGTTTGATTCTTTAAAAAAGAAAAACTAATGAATTAATGTCTGAACTTGAGGCTCTTCTTTTTCTTTTTTTTTGTCTGCTGTTAGGTGATGTACGACAAGTACTCTGGCAGAAGCCGCCGATTTGCATTTGTTACGATGAAAACGGTCGAGGATGCCAACGCCGTAGTAGAGAAACTGAATGGCTCTGTAAGTGACTCATGTATGAAAATTGAGGGAGTTACATTTGTAGACAGTAGATTACCGGGAATGATTAGCTCTATCTATTCCATGGCAGCAAATAGGAGGCCGGGAGATCAAAGTGAACATCACTGAAAAACCTTTGTCGTCGGTGGATTTGTCCCCTTTTCAAGCTGAGGAATCCCAGTTTGTTGACAGCCCACACAAAGTATATGTGGGAAATCTTTCTAAGTCAGTAACTACAGACACGCTGAAGCAATTTTTCTCTGAGAAGGGACAGGTACTAAGTGCAAAGGTCTCACGGGTTCCGGGAACATCAAAATCCAGTGGGTTTGGTTTTGTTACCTTTTCCTCGGATGAGGATGTGGAAGCTGCTATCGCATCTTTTAACAATGCTGTAAGTGGATTGATCACCGTCGATAGTTTATGCAATTATGTGGCCTTGTTGGCGTAAGCTTCATATTGGCACACACATGTCAGGTTGCCATGTGTGCTGCTACAGCCTGAGTTGCTAGCTTATGCGTTATTTATCTTGAGGCTTAAGCTATATCTGCATGATCTTTGTTCAATCTTTGCTTCTAGGTTTTGCTGTTGCTCGCTTTTTTCTAGTCTTCTTGATATAAAACTTAGTTGTATGACCCTTAGAAATGTTCTCTTCTCTGTCTGGATCAGTAGTTGTGGTTTTCTAGCTCATCGACTGTTCTGCATCTTGCTTTGCAGCTTATGGAAGGACAACGAATTCGTGTGAACAAGGCGTAGCAGTAAGAGAGAGCTTTGGCTTTTCAGATATGTACATCATTTATGTATCCTCCGGAGATATCAGCTTTTTGCAATTTTGGAGTGTTTTGGTTCTATTTATATACCTGAAAAGGGTAGGGGATGAAGGAGATAGTTTTGAAGCTCGGTTGCATATCGTAAGTTTCATCCTGAGATTGATCATGCTGCTTTAGTGATGACCCCAAGACTGTATTGATACTCTTCAGTGCTATTCATGTCTGCTCTGATGCGGGTCATTTACTTGGGGCTCAGGAACCGGCCAGCCAGGTCTTTCCAGAAGCAGATAAGCTTACAAAATGGAACCTAATACCTCTGGAAGATTTATTGGCAGGAGAAGCTTATTTTCGTTGCTTGGGAAATGGACATTTCTTTGATACATTCAAAACTTGAAAGAACATGTTCTAATTTTTGCAATGGCAGAGTGTATAATGCACAGACCGTGCGAGAGTATGAAAAATGAGGCTTTGAGTATGAAAAAGTTTTGCCATATTGAGGGCCATCGCGGGGAAGAGAAGAGGAGGGGAAGTGGAGTAGTGAGCTGTGGGTTGAGAGTGAGGGTAAATGGACTTGCTCGGAAGGATTGGTATTTTTTCTTTTTATCTTTTGAATGTGCGAAATTAACGTTTATAACTCAAGGCACTCGAAAATTTTCAAGTTATTCAACTTTTAATATATAACGGCAGATGAATGCATGTGAACATATTTTGATGATCTTTTCACTTTAGGTGGAAGGCATCGTATGGAGTGGATTCCAAACATCCACTGCGGCATCATTAAAAGTCCTAAATTATACCCTTTTGTATCTATCTTCTATGGTATTTTAATTGACGGGAAAGATGAGTCTATCGGTGCATTGCACACAGGAGACTCAAATTATTAAAGCAAATGAGCAGTCGCCCTCTTTTCTTGTGATTGATCATTTCGAACACACATATATAACCAAATCTCTTCAATCCTATTTTTGAATAAGAAAATCGTCTTTCCAGATATGGGAACAGATTTTATTTGTTCCGAAGGGTCACTAAAACAAAACGCTACGTGCGCCACATTTTTCTTATAGAAGTATTGGATTAGTTTTTAACTTTTACTATTAGTGGGTAGGTTTTTTTTTTTTTGGATGGCTACTAGTGGGTAGTTCATTGCAAGCTTTTCATTTACAACTTTTTATTTCACGTTTATTGGTATTTCCCCATCATTTTCTACTGTGTTTTTTTTTTGGGTCCATTCTCAACGGTAGTGTGAACGTAGTGGCATAAGAGATTTGTTCCCTCGATCGGATGTATAAGATTATAATTTTATTAAGAGAATATTTTATGATGTCGATATTAGATCGAATATTTTGGAAAAGTCGATTACCAAAAGAAAAAAAAGGTTAGAAATGTCGAGATTTTCCTTACCCCCAACCCATTTTTACCAAATATAACATAACCGTTTCGAATTATTTGGTGTTGAGTTTTTACAAGAATATATTGTTTTGAGCGGGGCTGTAATTAATCGGACGCCCTTATTTCTCCCTTTTGAGAGAGAGAAGAAAAGAAAAGAAAAGAAAAAGCGCGGGGGAGAAACACAAAAACAAAAACAAAGCTGGCGCCACTCACTGGGTTTCCCGCGCGCTCCCCCCCCCCCACGGCCACCCCAAAATTCACCCCCTTCCCCTCTTCCCATTTCCTCTCTCTTCCGAATCAACAATCAACAATCGCATCGCATCGCATCGCAGGGGTGGGTGGGTGGGTGGGTTCGTTCTTCAGACTTCAGTTTGTGTTTATGCTAACGGTGTTGTCGTTATCTCCTCCTCCATCTCCGGCGGCGACATGTTTTACTCCCAGACATTTCTGGGTCGGAAAGGTCCCCTCGGCACCGTCTGGTGCGCCGCTCATTTGCAACATCGCCTCAAGAAATCTCATTACACCTCCACCGATATCCTCAAAACCGTCGGTTCGTATTCTCATCCCTCCCACTCTTGTTGTGCTTCATTCTCGAGTTTTCCCTTCTTTCCCGATTTTATCATTTCTTTTGCCCCCCTGCCTTTGTTCGGTTCACCCGTCGCAAAGGTGGAGATTTGATGCGGCCAGACTTCACTCTGCCCGAAAGTTTCTTCCTTTCTTTGCTTTGACGCCGCCAAGACTCTTCTTTTTCTCCCTCCATCTTCACTTCTGGGGCTGGTTTTGTCTGCATGGTTTTCCTTTGCGATTGCATTCGAACGAGCTACTGCGAGTTAATTAATGGGTTCGAAGAAACGGAAGAATCTTACAAGTCAAAATACTTTGCAAGGATTCATTGTTTTGTCAACCAGTTTGTCTGTAGACCCAGGAATTTTTAGCTTGGAAATTATCATTCTTGAGTCCATTTAATTTCCGCTTTTGGCGGCAGAAATATTCTCTTCAGTCCAGTCGCGTTTACTTTTATCCAGTGATCGCTCATGTCATGTTGATTCGGCTGAACTTTGAGGGTTCATTCCTCCTATTGCCCTGACTTAATAAACTGTAATAGTCCCTTATTGATCACTAGTCTTCGAAATCCTCCCAATTTTCTGTGCAGACGCTTGTATAAATGCCAGTGTGGTTGAAGGTGCTTGTGCAGTTGCTGTACAAAGCAATCATATGGCTCTTACGTTATTCGATCACGATAAGGCCCTTATGTTTGTTAAGTCAATGGGTAGTAGTGTGGTGAGAAGGGAGAGCGATTGACATTAAGTTTCTTGGAAGGGATAAATCTGAATATTGAAGGAAGATGCCTCTTGGGCGATCCAATTAAGTTATGCTTCCCAAACTTGCACAGGGGGGAGTGTATTTCTCACTGTAGCATAATAATAAGAACTTTGATTGGAAGTTTCCTCTGATTCCTTGACGCTAAATTATCTGTTTGCTTTCAAGTGCTTATCCGTACTCTTAGCGTCTGGTGTTATTCTGTAATTGTTTGGATATGCAACTCACCAAGATTCTCAAATTTGAGTAATTCTTTTTGGTATTCTGTAGATTATATTATGTTTCCTGAAGTGCCAATTGCTTTGAGGATGTCTGGCCATCTTCTGTTGGGCGTTGTTCGGATATATTCCAAAAAAGTGGATTATCTTTTCCACGAGTGCAATATTATACTCACTGGATTGAGCAAAGTTTTTGCTCCAGTAGAGCTTAATTTGCCAGAGGATACAAGACAGGCACCGGTACAATCTATCACTTTGCCCAACACATTTGAACTTGATGCCATGGATTTGGATGACACATATGAAGACGGGTATGATTGTGACTAGTCTCTTGCCTTTCTATGGTTCCACTTTTTGAAATGTTATGAATAGTGGATCTTATTTCAGGATCCAGGATGACCATCTACGGAGCCGCGAGGAGATTACTTTGATAGGTGACTAGTTTTTAATTTAACAAGTCTAGTGTTTTCGAATCATTTTGTTTGAAGTTTGCGTACTTAACACATGAATTTGTGTACTTTTCTTGCTTTGGTTCTTAGAGCAAATCCCAACCGGAAGAGATCCTTATATTGTTATATCTTTTGATGAGGTTATAATCTCACACTTGATCATCTTTTCATTCGGGTGACTTATCATTGCTTTGTCCTTTAACAGCTAGAAATTTTTCTGATACCTAACAAGAATGGCTTGTGTTATAGGATATTCTGGAATCGTCACAACATGCGCTGGTACCTGTTTCTGTGGTTAGTTTAATGGAGGAGGAGTAAGTGTCCTTACAAGATGTTTTTTTTTTCCCTATGTTATGCAGTTTACAGAAAAATACTTAGTCTTTTTATCGTACAATGATAAGGTGATTTCTATGCGTGTCTAAACAGGCGTTCTGAAGGTCCTAGTCGTAGTCACCCAGAAGTACATAGGGAGAGCTTCCAGGATTCTCCTCTTGGATCAAGGGGAAAGATTGATCGTGACATTCCTATGCCAGATTTGCCAGAAATAGAAGTTATGCGTGATACAGTTCATGATGTTGGATTTGAGAACTTTCCTCCCATGACAGATCATGTAGATGATAGAAACTCTCTGACAAGATCTGAGCAAATCATGACGGAGAAGGGAACTGTCACCCCTCCTGTGCCAGATGCCTTGGCTTCTGGAGGGTCATCACTACCTTATCAACAGCATCCAGAAACAGCTGCTTCAGCAGATCTGCAGAATGCTGCCGTGTTTCCAGATGAGCACGTTTTGTTTGGTGCGACCTTCTACCACTTTCCACGCAAGCTTTGTTATGTTCATGAACTGAGTTTATGCCTTTTCAGATTTGCCATAGCCAGTGTTCTTTACATGTGTTTTTCGATATCTCAGAGCATGCATCACCTGAATTGGAGATTCGATCAAGCCCACCTGTCCAGCAGCCACCAGCAAGGAAAAGGAAGAGAAAGCAATTTTTTGATGAATGTGTAGTGTTGAAAAATAGGTAATCTTATTAGTCTAGACACAAGGGCAGACTTATATGTTGTTGCCTTTTAGTAACTCAAAAATGTTTATGTGCAGCTTTATGAAGAAGGCTCTTCATAATCCCAATGATTTACTGCGCAAAAGGAGGAATATTCCTAGCTCTGCTTTTGGTTTATGGAAGTTAAATAAATGCCTCAGGAAGGAGTGCAGTTTTCAGGAACCCCTCTTCAATGGTATTTGTCCCACTAAAACTTTTCTACTGCTTTTTGCGTGTTCTAGGTGGAGAAATTTTCACTGGAGGATGACACTATATGCGTTGCTGCAGGCATGTGCACTGATCTTCAGAATGTATTTAGGAAGGATTACGTATCAATAAACCCACATCTTTTTGGCCAAGATGATGTTATTCCAGAGCCTGTGGATTCAGAGACTCCAGGTCCTACAGCCGAAGTTTTGCCTGGTCTTGGGATTTCTCAATCTCCTGATAATGCTACTGCTTTTGACATGGAAATTGAACATCTTCGGCATGATAAAGACCAGACTGGCGGCAACTTCCTGGATTTTGTTTCACTTCCGATAAGAGGCATCGACTCCTCTCTCGGAAGAGATACCTTTACCCCTATATCAGTTAGTTTGGGATTGGCAACGGAGCTTCCTGAGGGAAGTACTTTTGGAACTGGAGTTCTGCCAACACCTGATGCTTCCATGTCCACTGTTCCTTTTAGGTCTGATACAGAAACACCACTGACATTTATAGAGGAAAATCAAGTTGAAGAGAACACTTGCCTTTCAGATATTCCAGAGATGACTGCTGCAGAAGTAGGTCTTCGCTTAATTTTTTGTGTATTCTTCAATTCTTTTTAATTCCTTTGCCAACTGGCTGATTTACTTCGATAGAATATCTCATTAATTATTTGATACCTGGCATTTCTTGTGAATGTGTAATTCAAATTGATCTTGTTTCACTTGGTCCTTATATAAATGCTGATATGACCGTTTTCAGTGTGACAAAAGGCCAACACTCGTAGTTATGGTTTCACCTTCTAAATATTGTATTGCGATTTTCCTGACCCTAATTTTGAATTTCGACATGCCTAAATTTCTATACCTCAAAGTAGCTGGCGTTCATGCATAAGTAGTTCGTTTTGGCACATTCTTCATCTTATTTTGCATCACCAATCTCAGTTCCTTATCCTTGGCTTAGAGTTTCTCTCCTTGCGGTCTTCTTTCTTTTGCCTTATCTACTTGGCATTACTACCTTGGAGTCTTTGACGCATTGCCTATTGCATAATGCTTCCTTGTTGTTTAATGAAGATCAAGAGAAACACACATATATGTATTGATTCTTTTTCCCTAGTAAGTTTGTGGTAGTGGAGAGCTTTGACAAAAGTTTTTGATTCTGTTGCCAATGTATATGCAGGAACTTTATTTTCTGGAAGCAGAGGATACTTCACTGGCGGGTACGATGCAATACATAATTTGCGCTACTACTTTTACTGTGTTTTGTAAGGCTTAATGGGTGAGACATTTATAGCTGACCAAGAATGCTTGATAGCAGGATCCTGCAGATCACAAGAAATTGACCCTTTGTCTATTAGAACAAGGTTTGATCTTGTGTCCTTATTTTAAATAGAATCCCCTATTTTTAAATGCTTAATAGTTAGGTTTAACTCTTGGATTGTAAGTGATTCACTTGTGCTTACTGTAATTTACTGCTTGGGACTATTGCAGGGCAGTCGCTCAGTTCTTACAAAGACGTTCTCCCACTGCCCCAGGACAAGAAGAAGAGTCAGGTCTTAGCCTGACCAACATTTTAGAAGGAAAGAACAGAAGACTATGCGCAAGAATGTTTTTTGAGACACTAGTACGTTCCTTGGAATTTCTATGGTAGTTGAAATTTTGTGGTAGATATATTGCATAAGAATTTAATCTCTTTCATCCACTCCACAGAACCCATTTACAGTCCCCATAAAAGAGCATCAACGTTTGCACTTTCTTCTAGGTCTTGATCAGTGCTGCCCATGCTCTAGTTCTTGCTTGTGTTGACTCTCGTGCCATAATGGTAGCAGAGATGTTTGGCAAGATTTAAAGTTCAATGAATGAAGATTGTATATTTTGTTCCTGTCATACCAGATTCTTCTGTTGAGTCATAAATTGTCCTATGTGCCATATAAGGGAACAGAGCATCTTGTGGACCAATAGAAACTTCCTGTTGAGTGAGTGATTTAGGGAGCCATTTACAACAAAATCAGGACATAGAGAAGAATTCATACGGATGCTTTGCTGTTCACCTAGGACACTGCCCGTTTTGCATTTTTACACGCATTGATGTTGCAAATTTGCATCTGATACCAGCTTCCTGGAAACCTACATGATATAATATTCTGTATAAATGCGAGAATCTTGTCCTACTTCCGTTAGGAAAGTGGATGCCACTACTCTAAATATAGCTAAATAATGATTGACATTTTTCTTTGATTTATCATTCTTCATACTAAGCTAATATTTTTTCATTATCTGCGGGACTTGAATGTAAGGATGTTTGCTTAATGCAATTTCCTTTCTGGCAAGCTTTTGGTATTTGAGTATATAATACGAGTTTTACACCTTTAGATGTACTAAACTGAAGCCATATCTAAAGCACTCTTGATTTTCTGGATCGTTTTCTCAGTCGATGACTGCTCATATGATGTGGACAGGTTTTGAAGAGTTATGGACTCATTGATGTGCAACAAGATGAAGCCTATGGTGATATATCATTAAAGTTGACTCCTACACTTTCAAAGGCACAAATTTGATGTTACATAATTGTGTTCACTATGGTCTTGCTGTACATAGATACGTGATCATTATGAGTAATGAAGGCGACTCCTCTCAGCAATGATGTTGCACTCTCCACTAATTTCTCTTTTCCTCTGCATGATCAAAGGCTAGAGAGTTTTGTAGAATCATCAACTAGCCATTTGCTTTATTTATGCAGTGCGGTAAAATAAGACGTTTGAACATGATTTCTCTCAACTTCATGTATAGATGCCTAGTTGTAACATCCAGAATTTGGCATCAACATTCTGGAGAACGAGGAAATGGTGTATCCAATATTTTCTGCTTCAGATGTTTTATAGGCAATTGTTGCCTTCCATGGTATGAAGAGCCTGCAATGGGCTGCCAAACTGGCTCTTCACATGGTGCGGTGAATGTACCATCCCAACTTTGGCCCAAATCCCTAAAAAACCCTCAACTTTAGCTTTTGTCCCAATTATATCCCAAACTTTTTTTTGTCTCATAAAAAATCCCAAACTTTTACTTTTGTCCCAAATCTACCCCGTTAACTTTTCATCCAATTTTTTAATATTATTTTTTTGAATTTTTTTATTTTTTCTTTTTCCTTTCCTTTTTTTTTTTTGTTTCACCTTCAACCTCTGGCCGGCAAGGTTGGCCTTGCCAGCCGCTGGTGAGGCTCGGCCTTGCCGGCGTTGGGCGAGGCTGACCTTGCCAATAGCCGGCGGGGCCGAGCCTCACCAGCCACGGCGAGGACAGTCTGGCGAGGGCTCGGCCCCGCCGGCAACTGGCGAGGTTGGCCGAGGCTGAACCTCGCCGTAGCTTCGGGCGAGGCCGACCTCGCCCGGCTGCCGGCGGGGCCGAGCCTCGCCGCATCTAGCGAGGGCTCGGCCACGTCGGCCGCTGGCGAGTCTCGGCCTCTCCGACGTTGGGCGAGGCCGACCTCGCCAATAACCGGCGGGGCCGAGCCTCGCCATGCTCTGGCGAGGGCTTGGCCACGCCGGTCGCTGGCGAGGCTCGGCCTCGCCCAGCAACGGCGAGGTTTAGCCTCGGCCAACCTTGCCGTTGCTGGGCGAGGCCGACCTCGCCAGTTGCCGCCGGGCCGAGCCCTCGTCAGACTGTCCTCGCCGTGGCTGGCGAGGCTCAGCCTCGCCAATAGCCGGCGGGGTCGACCTCGCCAGCCAGAGGTTGAAGGTGAAACAAAAAAAGAAAAGGAAAGGAAAAATAAAAAATAAAAAAATTCGAAAAAATAATATTAAAAAATTAGATGAAAAGTTAACGGGATAGATTTGAGACAAAAGTAAAAGTTTGGGGTTTTTTATGAGACAAAAAAAATTTGAAATATAATTGGGACAGATTAAAATTGAGGTTTTTTTAGGAAATTGGGCCTCCCAACTTTCATTGAGTTAGCATCAACATCCAAATCCTCACCTTTGATTTGACAAGCAGGACTTATTGGGACATGAGATAATTGGATGCTTGTTGAACCGGAGTCGTAGTTTTAAATTATCTCATTCAAATGTCGGAAGCTTTGGTAATGGCCCCTCAAGTGAGACTCAACTTAACAGCCCCTGAACTGAAAAACCAAGGATATCACCCCAGAACCGGTAAAACCCAAATAACCCGCGAAAACACCTGATCTGCATAACCCTCGTCCGACTTCCTTTGCATTTAGAAGACCACCAATGAGAATAGTACAAGCGGCAAGATGGGGATGCACACCATTCGAACTCCAATGCCTCATCTGATCTACCCCCCTCATAGGAACCATCAACCCATATACCGAAACGCGCTACCGATGGCTCCAGGACCAGTTACATGGAACATTTTCAAGATATCGAAGACCTAAATTGATTTGACTTCTCCTGCAGCTAGCTCCCATGATTTTTGTTACACACTATGATATTGTGGACAATGCCACCATCAATCATCGCGTGACGGAAAATTCCAACTTTTTTATTTATTTATAATTTCCTCCCTTTTCAAGAAAACGATAATCGCATACACGTATAGTTCACATAACAATAACTAACAAAACCACGCGCTCATTGCATGTATACAATGGAATTGACATATAATTATTTTTTTGTAATCGCCTTCTTACGATTTTCAGTAATGGGCATAATATGAGCAAATTGGAACCATCTATGTGGATTTAAGATTTGAAATTTTTTAATAAGGTTCATTATAAGGTAGAAAATATTCAAATTGAAATATGTGAGTGATAAAATATAATAAGTAATTGAGGCAATTGCGATATTAATGGAGTTTCTTTTTATTTATTTATTTATAAAATCACTAATTGAGGGTATTTTGGCGGAGGCAAAAGGAATTGCGATTTCCTTAAGAGAAGGAAGTTCTCTTTACTTTAAAAGAAAAAAAAAACAATTGCATCTTTCATTAATCCAACAATAATATGAAAAAGCGTTGTGTCCGAAATATTTACAGAGAACTATAATTTCTTGCCTTGATTATGCGCTAAGATAGCAGATAGATAGTCATTTGATTTGGAAGATTATATACATCATATTGGGAAAAATTCACTTTTACTGGCAAATGATTTTTGTAAACAAAGAGAACCATATAGACAGACTGTAGTTGCCTCAGATAAATCACCTCATTTGTAAATCGTTATCCGTGTATATCTTGTGCAACTACTCATTATATTGAGTATACCAAAGTCTCCCATTTTACTTCGTTTGCATATTTTAATCTCGTTGCATTTCCCATCATCTTTTTCCACTCGTAGTCCTTAGGGGTGTTCCTACTTTTTTTTTTCCTTTAAATTAATTTGTAGTTATTATTAAAGATCTTAAGCTTTTAGTATATTCTCATTATGATAAATAATTTTTGTAAAATCACTTATTGTTGCATTGAAAATTACTAATTTTCTACGAAACTCACTCGAAAACCCGCACAACATGTTTCTTGTTGCTTTTTATCTATTGAGAAAATGATTCTAATTATCTCTAAACTTTACCTTAATGTGCAATGTCATTCTTGAACTTTCAACTCGTACAATGCGATCCTCAAAGTATTCCTAAATGTGCAATATAGTCCCTAAATTTTAATATTTTCAATGTAGTCCCTCAATTTTCCATGATAAAGCAAATAAGTCCTACGATTCTATCCAGAAATTTCCTAATTGCATTTTACCGAACAAAATAGAGAAGAAACAGAGGATTTCGGAAATCTGTAAAAAAGTGTATCACTTTCTAATAGAGGCCTTGTATGCATAAGGCTCCCGCATGTTCACAATAAAGGAAAAGATATCCTAATTAATTACTTCAAGAGAGGAACTTCCTCAATATTCAATCCCTTGATTAATTACTAATTTCTGCTGCCTCTTGATTTCCAATTATTGTCGATGAAAAACTAAGAAGTTTTTAAGCCTAGAAAAAAGTAAACTGCCACGTACTTAAGATATTTGGCAATTTTAAGGAGAGATCTGTTGTGACGGTTGGAAAAGGCATTATGTAGGATAGGGATATATTGACAACTTCAGTCTGACATTAGCTTCCTTGTTCCATCACATCATTCCAGGAAGTAGGCCTCTCTCGCTGTAGAGAAAGATGGGTTGCAGTGCGCATCTTTTTATCTATTCTTCTTCTTTTGCTGAGCATATAATTCTCACTACTCACTCTCAAGTATCCCAAAATGGAACCGAAATATGGAGAGGGAGAGATGGGGGGAGAGTGTGAGAAAGAGAATTGTTTCTGAGAGAAAAGATCAAAGTACCGTGCATACTCCCACCGAGGCCTCTTATCTCTCCATTCCCAATTTAATAATTGATGCTCCATCTTATTTTTGTTTGGTAGGTATGTATTTTATATGAAGCTCGTATGAATTGGTTACATCTTTAACTGCTTTTGGCATATTATGTAGAAATGCATATGAAGCTCGCATGAATTAGTTACATCTTTAACTGCTTTTGGCGTATTATGAAGATCACCGCCTCTCTCTCTCTTTATAGTTCTCCAGATCTTTCTCTTTTGGTCTAGATAATTTCAAAATAATTTAGTCCTTTTTTCATCCTAGCGAAATGAAGTGTAATAATTAGTGCCAGAGATATTTGTATTGGAATTGTTCGGAGATATAAGGATGTCGGTTAGTTCAACGACTTTACATCCTATAAATAGGCGCTAGCGCTCCATGTGTGTAGAGTGATAGTGTGTGCAGAGTGTGCTGTCAGTGACGTGAGGTGTGTTGTGACGTGTGTGTGTGCCGTGAGTAAAGTGAGTGGGTGAGTGACACGTGAGAAGTGTCAATTAACTGTATCAAGTCCCTTTCCTGTAATAATAACAAAGTATTACAGTGAATTAATTTTCACTTATTTTTCTTAACAAGTAGTATTAGAGTCGTGCTTTTGAAGTTCAATAAGTGGTATCAAAGCTCACGATGTCTGGGACCATTGTAAGTGCAGGCAGTCGGGGACTGTGAACCCAGCAATCGAAATTGTAGTACGCGAAGACGTAATCGGGGATCATTGTACGTGAGCAAATGATCAGGGACCGGAGTACTTCGGAGTTTTGCTAGTGCACAAGTCAGGAACTGTGACGCCGGTTGGTTTGGGACCAAGCTTACTTGGCGAAGTGCTAGGCATTATAACCAAGTCACGATGATGAATTTCTCAAGTTCGGTGAACGGCGTCGAAAAGCTCAATAGCTCTAATTATAATAATTGGAGTACTTGCATGCAATATTATTTGTTGGGTCAAGACTTGTGGAATATTGTTGATGGCAGCAACACCGTACCACCTACGAATGATGGTGAGTTGAGGAAATGGAACATCAAAGTGGGTAAAGCTCTTTATGTTCTTGCTATAACTGTTGAAGATAAGTTGTTACATCATATTAAGAGCGCAAAGACCCTGAAGGAGGCATGGGATAACTTGGTGGCACTGCTCGCGAGGATGAACGATGCCAAGTTACAAAGGCTGGAAAACGAGCTCCTCTCAATCTCGCAACAAGATTTGCTAGTGAGTCAATACTTCTCTAAAGTTAAATCTATTTGTGAAGAAATTTCAAAGTTAGATCCTCAGAATGCCATCTCTAAGACAAGGATGAGAAGAATTGTCATTCATGGGTTAAGGCCAAAATATAG